ATTTCCATCTTTGCTGACACTCATTATCTCTTCAAATTTTCCTACTTTTTCTCCTCCTTTTTCAGACTTCTGTTATTTGAATGTTGCCACTTCTATTTCCATCCTCTATAGTCAGGTTTTCTGATTTTATCTTCTTGTTTGGGAGCACATCTCAAGCTGATTTTTCAGCTCATTAACTCATTCTACAGCTGTATCATTTCTACAGTATATCTCATTCGCTTGTCTTCTTTATTTCAACTATATTTATAGTCAATACTTTGTCTTGCTTCTGCATTATAGTACTATCTTTACTTATTTTTAAAAGACTATAGGTCAGGCATGCTGGCTCAGCCTGTAATCCCAGCAATTTGGGAGACCAAGGTGAGTGGATTGCCTGAACCTGTGGGTTTGAGACCAGCCCATGCAATTTGGTGAGACCTCGTCTCTACAATAAATCAAAAATTAGTTGGGCGCAGTAGTGTGTGCCTGTAGTTTCAGCTACTTGGAAGGCCGAGGCGGAAGGATCGCTGGTGCCCAGCAGGTCGACCCTAGGTTAGCCGTGAGCGTGTCAGTACACTCCAGCCTGGGTGATGGAGTGAGACTCCAATGCAAAAAAAAAAAAAAAAAGACTATTACATTGATTTTTTTTTTTTAATTTAGAAAGGAGGTTTTATTGAGAGGACAGAAAAGCTCCCAGTGGGAGGGGACCAGAAGGGGCTGCCCTACATTTATCTTTAGTTAACCCATCTCTTCCCAGTAAATTGGCTTCAGTTGTTCATTTGTAATGTCTTTTATACTGTATGAACTTCTCAGGCATCTAGTTACGTTAGCTGTCCAAATTCATCTGCAGCTATCAGCCCCTTGGCAGAGAAACTCAGGCATCCAAAACAATTATGGACCATCGACTGCTTTCTCTCCACCAAATAACTCTTTTGACTAGAATTTCAACTTTAAACTGTACAGAAGGAGTAGCATTGAAGGAACAATCTGTCCCTTAGGTTATAATCCACCAACTCTAAGATTTGGAAGAAAGAGACTTCCACTTCTAGGAGTGGCAGACCGAGTAATTCAGATCAACCTTCCCACTGAGGACAGCCAGAAAAACTGAACAAATCATGAAATATTCTGGTTGAAGTTCTATGTGGGCCACGATAGGGGCCTAGTTCTACATGGCACTGCTAGTAGTCTTTTAGAAGTGCTTAAAAGCCTGAGCTTTGTCCCTCACCCAGTGGCCCCTGACCTGCCTCTGCCTTCGTCCCGGCTGCTCCAGGCCACTGGTGTCTTGTCTGAATAGTCTCTTCACTCATGTGTGTGCATCAGACTTAGTCCTTTCCCTGATTATTCTGTCAGCGAAATCCCTCAAAGACTCCACCGTCAAGACATTAGGATTGAGTTAAGGTCAATATCTTGGGCTAAAAGTAATTTTTTAAAGCAAAAGACCTTTTTCTGAAGGTTAATATGCAAATGAAAGGCAAGCTATACTGCACAACGCCTAACAATTTAGAGTGACAACTCTTTCTGGCTCTCCCCTTTTTTTGGGCCCCAGCCACCTTTCACCTCCGGTCTTCAATGGGATCTTTTATCTCTTTCTACATTGCTATTTATATTTACAAAGGAACCCAGCAGACCATCTTATTTCTCACTTCAGCATCCTGACTAGGAAAAAGTTCCCATTTCCAAATTGGGATGCTGGAGAGAAAGAGGGTCACCCTTCCCTATACGTTCACTAATACAAGTTAACCATGGTCAAAGATGGCAGTCCTTGCTGCTTTAGGTCATAATATCCCATCCCCACCATGAAAGTCTCTCCCGCTTCTGACCATGCAAGCCATATATTCTGTCTCTTGATGAAAGAATAGTGGCCAGGTGATATGTGTTCCAGCTACAGTGACCTGAGGCACGTCTCAAGTTTTCGGTACTCCAAGTTCCATTTTGGATACTGAAAGGCTGGACTATTTGGCCTGTTGTCACAGTTCTATAATCAAATACAGTACCAGTATTCAAGAATCAATACGTGTACTACAGCTGTGTCCCAGAGATCATCTCACTGCACACAAGCTGGCAGGTGGTGAGGAGAACTTGGTGTGGGGTAGTGACTGGTGTCTCTTTCGTCAGAAAAATATCACAGAAGTCTACCAAGTCAGCAAGAAGCCCACAAAGTGCGTGGTGAAGGCGATTAAAATTGCAGCTCCTGCCAACAAGGCTGTCTACAACTACAGTATTCAGACCTTGAATTCCACAGAGCTTGCCAAGAAGGAGCTGCTTCAAGAGATGGCCAAGGTGAGAGACCCAGACAGGATAATGGCAATTGGCTAATTCAGTGATCTCTTTCCTCTGACCATACCTGCCTGGAGGTCAGCAGGAGATCTCAGGTATGCAGATGAAAGACAGTCAATCAGACAAGGGATCAGGTATGGGGAGAATTGTTCCGTGACTGTTCTACACTAATTGTGGCTCCTCCACACCCAAGGGTGAGCCAGAGACCCTCAGTGTATACTCAGATACACATGAATAAAAACAACTACAGGGTGCATACCTCTGAGAAACACTTTATCGATATTGCTTATGGAAAGTTGCTGTCACTCAGAATGAAAGCTTTGGTTTAGGCTTCAGGTGCATCTTTACAACTTTTCAAAACTGCATCTCCTGCTAAATGGGGCAGTGCTATGACCCTCATGGGGCTACTGTACAGTTCATTTCCTCTGAATGTACCATTTAGATTGTCAGGAACTATGATTATGCCCCTACCTGTTTCTGATCCCTACTTGGAGATTGCCACCAGCCCTTCTATCCAGATCTGTTTGTTCTCTTATTTCTAGGAGCCAAGAAGGAGATTCACATACTCACAGAATTACCTCTCAGCCATGGTGGAGCCCTTGGACTTGAAGGAAGAGAAGAAGCAAGCCCAGAAGAAATCCCGCCAGGCTTGGCTCACAGCCAGTGGATTCCAAGTGATAGGTCTTCAGAGCAGCCAATGCCATCAGAACCTCAGGCTGTCACCCATCAAAGATCTGAATGAGGTCCACAGGGAGGAACAGGGCCTCAGATGGGGTGTCCATAGAGACCTCTCTTCTTCTAATTTCTTTTTTCCCGATTTAGGAGTGGAAGGAAAAGGCACTGTTTGCTAACATGCTAGAGCCTGTGTTGGATCGAGACAGGTGGAACTGGGACCGGCGGCACCTGGACTTTGATCTGTACAAGAAGCCACCACCTTTCCTGGAGCTGCCCCCATCTCTGGCACGGAAGCCTGTAACAGGTAACAGATGAGACCTTTGCCAAGCTGAACCTCCTGATGCCTGGTGCCACTTTACATCTTCAGTAGTATCCATTTTGTTTTAGATATCCAGTCAAACTTTCTATGCTGAGAAATCAAGATTAAGAATGCGTCTGGTACTACAGATTGAATGCTGGGCTGGAACTCAGAAAAGGATTGTAGTTCCATGTGTGACTTTGTGCAAATCCCTTCACTGCTCTGGGTCTCTAGTTTCTTAGCTATAAAAAGTGGGGGTTGGAAGACAGGTCTAAAGACTTTTTGAGCTTCAACACTATTATCCATGACTCATCTCTAGATGCTTGGCCATCAGCTAGGGGCAAAGGCTCTGGGCCTAACTGGGACCTTCCAGCTCCCTTCCCACTCCATGATGGTGCCAGTTCTCCCCCTGTGGGGGAAAAAGGGAGACAGAAAATATGGGTTTTGCTACACCAATTCCCCCAAGTCCTTTTTTGTTCTTCATCCTTCTGTTTATGAAGAGTGACCTCATCTGTTCAGGGAGAAAGAGAGATGATCCTATCTAGTAACAATGTTTCCCAGAGAAACCTTTCCTAGGAGGCTAGATCAGGTAAACATGATGGATTTTTTTCTCCCCAACTCCTGAAGAAGGCTGGTAACAGCTCCCTGGAACAGGAGGAAGATTGCTGAAATGTCGCTTTCTCCACTTGCCTAGACTTGGCTCCTGCCGTCCCCAATAGGTCCTAGGCCTTCTGGGGTAGCTTGAAGAAGAAACCTGCTCTCTGTTGGCATAGCCTAGGCACGTGGTTATTGCTGTGGCTCTCGAGAAGGCTCCAGCTGAGAGCTATCTAGTTTGGAAAAACAAGACTCTTTTCTCAGTGGGCTCCACTGCCCGCCTTTCTAACAAAAGTTCCCTGGGCATCTCACTGGTGAAATTGTTGAAGAAGCACATGCTAGGGCCTCCCAACCCCACAATGTTTAAGAAAACCTGGAAACTGCAGAAAGGGAGACTTGAACTAGTGGCTAGGCTTTTTAAACCCAGCGGGATAGAGAACTTGCTGTTGATGGGACCTTATATGCCAGCAGTCTAGGGTGAAGTCTATTTCCAGAGGGCTGCCCGGAAGTGGGGCAGAGTCTGATGACTCCTTCCCAAGTTTCTCCTGTGTAAAGAAACTCCAAGTAGCCTGTCCAGAGCAGAAAATGCCTCCTTGCCATCATTACTAGCCAACAAAAAAGAAAAAAATTTCACTGGAAGTTATTTCTGAAGTCATGATATTTATAAACTCCCCCCCCAAAATTGATTACCAAAATCCAGAATGCTCAGGTCAGTCCCACTAGGCTCAGCTGAGTACCCAGCTGCTTCTTCAGCTATTTCTAGCATCACAGCATATTAGGACTTACACTTGGAGGAAAAGGAGAGAGCTGACCACCTCCTCCCCACTTGAGGCAACATCCACAGTAGGCTTTTTGGAGCCCCAAACCACCCAAGGACCAGACCAAAGCTGCCAGAGTGAGCACACTGGGATCTAGTGTATCTTGCAAGCAATAGTAGAAAGGAATTTGGAGAAATGCAAATGCCTGTTGGTGCAGCCTGAAGATCAAAGATGAGGGCTCATAACCCTAGGGTGCTGTGGCCTGGACACTTGTTCCTTGGAGGTCCTATGCCTCCTCTAGCAGGATGAGGACAAAGAGGACTTGAAGCCATCACCACAGGGTGTTTCTCAGGGTCATGCTGGTCATCCATTAAAGGCTGGTTCTGAGGAACAGTGTGACATACAACAAAGGCTAGAGGTGCACACAGAAACAGACATTTTATAGTCTTCATTAAATGGTTTCTGGTACCTGTTTAAGTCCATTTGCTTCTACTCCAAATGATTGACATGTACACAGCTTTCACGCTGTTTTTTAGACTGTGTGGTCTAGCAGTAATGGCTCTTTATACCCGACACAGGTCCCCACCAGCCTGCTACCACAGAACACCTGTTTCCTTAAACTAGCAGCAATGAGCCCCCGTTTCCCTAAACTATCAGACTACCCGTTAAATTCCAGGTGTCAGCAATTCCATTCTTTCTCCATCTTGGTTTAGAAGCTGTGATCTTGTTAGATGGCAGCGCCTGCAGGCTGACACCTGAAAGAGTCCCCCAGCCCCAGCCCCACCCCCACCCCCCAGTACGGAGGAAAGCCATTTGGGTGTGAGCTGTGAACAAATGGCTCAAGGTGTGATGATCCCAAGTGATCCATCGTCTGAAAGTTATCCGGCAACGGGCCATGGTCTGGGAGCAGGCAGCAGAAGGAAACCCTGTCCCCTGCTTCAGGACGTCCTGTTCAGAGGGTGGGCACAGATATAAGCTCGCTTCTCAAGGACCTGCTGGGACACTTTTTTAATCTGCTCATCTAGGTTTTCTGGAGCATCTGGGAGGGAAAAAGAGAGGGAGTGGGTGATCTTTCTGCATTGTGGCAATACAATTAAAGCTGAAATGGTGGCATTTTTAACAGTCAGCTCATCCAACATGAAGCAGCCCTAAAGGCAACCCCTGCCTCCAAAACCCCAAGAATTGATCTGGGTTGCAGGAAGAGAAAGGAACAGAGGCTTCATTCTGAGTGACAAAGGGCTCATCTTGATAACTCTAAAACCCCCAGATCTTGTGGGGGTAGAGCTGGCACTTGCTCAGTAAATGGCCCATTTGCAAATCCAACCCACTGAAGGAGAAACCATTTCATCATGCTCCACAGCCTATAACTGTCCTGTCGGCACTGTGAGGGTGCCTGGGGCCACCTCTAGAGCCAAGACTTGCACAAAATCATATGCCACTCTACTCAGCGAATGCTAGGATGCTGGCAGCCTCTCCACCATCACTTGGCAACAGGACTGGGCTCTGCAGGGAGAGTGATCCAGAGCTTTCAGGTCAGAAGAAGTAAACTTTGAGCTGGGGGTTCCAAGATCTGGTGAAATGGCTACGGAGGAGGAAGAGCACTCCAGGCAAACAGAAGAGCATGTGCAAAGCTCCTACATTCTACAGGGCTGAGGCCTGAGACCTCTGCAGAGCAATGCAAGTTCACTTTGGCTGAAGTTGAAGGGGTGAAGGGCAGGTAAAATGCTGTCTCCTGAATCAGGTACAAAAGGTACTTCTTTCTTCATGAGTGTTCCTGGGCAGCTTCAAGAATACGGCCAGGCATGCCAGCTCTGTGCTTGCTTGATCTAAAACTACCTTGGGGAATAAGCAGGTCTCCATCTCAGGCTCCTGCCTGGTGGGCACTACTGAAAGTCAGCCCAGGCCTTCTTCAGGCCCTCACTCAAGGCTGAAGTTTGTGAGTGGTCAGCAGGTTCTAGGAGCCTGACAGGGTCCAGGAAGAGTCACCATCAGCAGAGGCCTGGAACTGGGTTCTAGGTTCTCCCCCTCCCCTAAGATACCCTACTTACACTTGTCCAGCTGAGATAGGCTGAAGAGATTCTGGAAATAAGCATCCACGCAGAAGATATTCGCCAACAGAACCTGCCAGACCGAGGTCAGAAAGGATATACTAAGAGCTCTGGAGTCTGACCTCTGAGCTTCAAAAAACTCAGCCCGTCAGCCAAACTGGGCAGCTTGGCAGGAGGGGTCAAAAGGCCTAGCTCAGCAGTCAGTCTTAGTTTCTAATTCCAGCCCCGACACAAACTAGCTCTGCTGCAAAGGGCAAGTCACTTAGCATCTCTGGGCCTGTTTGCTCCACTGAGAGGCAGACATCCTCATTCCAGCATCTGCAGCCTACTCCAGGACAGTGCACGCACAGAGCTGGCTATGCAGTAGGTGCTCAGTGACTGCATCTGCCTCCCTCTAGCAGGGGGGGTCTGTCCCTGAGTGGGGATGGGGCAGGCAGATGGGGTGAGGGTGCTGGGCTCAGGGACCCCTGTCACTCCCTCCCTCATCTTCTCTCAGCTAGGAAGACAAAAGGAAGCAACCCTACCTCCTGAACAGCATGGACCTTCCCATGGCCACGGCCATGGCACGGCACGTCTGTGAACCTGCAGGCATCCTGTTGACTTGCCCAGTTCCACCCTCTGGGACTCCCTGACAGGCCATCTGACGACCCCATTCCCCAACAATTGACTTCATTAAAGTGCAACAGGACAGAAGCCAGCAGAAAGACCAACTGTGTGAGGTGGGTGGGACTCACCTCGTGGTCATGGTTCCGGAGTCCAATGCGGATAGAGCGGCTAGCTCGTGAGAGCACGGCTGTCATGCCATACAGGTTGATGAGGATGTTGGCCACCCGCTTCATCACCAGCTGCTCCTCCACGATGGTCTGGGAACACAAAGGCTCAGAGTGGGGACTTGCCACCTAGGGCTAGCACCCTCCCTTCCATAATTACCAGCCCCCAGCCACATCTCTGTCTTGGAGTCTCCCTCTGTTCCTCAGAAAAGTGGGGCCAATATTTCCTTTCCCTTTCGGCCGTGGAAGAACAGCTCACATCTGCTTGCTGCCTTCATTTTCCTCTCTCTAGTGTCTCTGGATTCAGGGAGTGGCTTAACGCAAGGCCAGGTCCCAGAAACTTGGCTGAGACCACGGCCAGTGCTTGGTGTGCTTAATGTCACCTTCAGCAGCAAGAACTCCAACTGATCAGGTCCTTAGATTCGGGTCCGAGATGAGACTGCCCTTTCTGATTCCAGGGAGCCTCTCTCCACCTGGAAGGTGTATGGAAAAACATCCTCCAGCAGGGGCCCCACCTGAGTAGCTAAGTGGCCGCCAGGCAGGCAGACATGGCCAACTCCGACCTCCCCATCACCCAGCCCCCTCCACAGCAATCAAGATTTCTAGTGTAGGCCTGGTCCCAAAGGTGGATGCTTGGCAAAATGCAGTTTCATGGATGCTGGCCAAATCAAAGGGCCTGTTGTGTCCCCAGGCCTGGCAGGGCCTGGTTACCTTGCCAAAGCGGAGCAGCAATGTCTCAACAGTCCGACCAAAGTAATACACGTTCTCCTCGAGTTTGTTAGCACTGTCCTATTAGACCAGAAGACAGGATTCAGCTTAGCACCTCATCCCTGCAGTGTCCTGGACAGCACACAGCCTAGAGCTCTGGGGCCCAGGCCCTGCTCTCAGGCTGAGTTGTTCTCCCACCATGGGAGCCCTGAAGTTCCCAGATGGGGCAGGGATGTGATGAGGGCATCCAGGGTAACGTGGACTAGCTGATGCTTCCCAGCTTTCCCTGGAGAAGCCTAGACCCCATAGTCAAACCCCTTCTGAGATGGGGAGATTTGGCAGAAAGGCACTCAAGGTGGGGGGCGGGTACATCTGTTGGGCCCACTCACCGCAAGACTGGGATGCACAACTCCAAGGTCGCCTGTCAGCCCCAGGTCCACAGTTCGGCCCAGGGAGTCCCGAAGCCTCCGGCCAAGGGTCTCCATGACTGTGGTCACACTGCCCTGTTTAAATTCCCTGCAGGAAGTCCACAGTCCCATGACAGGAGGTCCTGGTGCTGGTTCCTACTGCCCAGCAACACAGCCTCTTGGCACCCTGAAGCTCCATGCCCCTCCCTTGGCCTGGGCATGCGGGGATCTTGGCTGCAGGCTGACTACCCCAACCTGTCAGAGAGCAACTGGTCTCCTTGGGGGAGCCACACATGTGTTCCGTCCACGAGGGGCTGAGTCACAACCAGCTTCCCGGTGGCTATCTCCTGTTAAGGAATCTGCAAAATACTACAGGCAACCTGTACTTGGGCCCCTGCAGTGATTTTGGAATGTTTTGGCCCTAGGCTGGGGGCCTAGAGGAAATGAGTGGCAGAGAAGACAAAAACTGGTCTTATGCTGGCCATGGGGCCTGCAACTATTTGAGGGATGCCTCTCATTCCTCAGGTTCTGAAGAACTGACCACCTCCAGCGTGGGGAATGAATGCTAATAGCAGAGGGGGAGACAGAGTTCAAGTTGGGGCTGCAGGGTGGTATGGCCATAAGGGGAAGCCAGTCTGAAGCCAGGCTTCCCAGGCCTTGCACGCAGCAGCCAGCCTGCCGGTGAGCACTGCAAGGCCAAACCACACTTCCACACCCCCAATCCCACGACAAGGGAGGCCTTTCCTCTTACTGCCCTGGACTGGCCAGTGCTAGGTGGGTGAGACTCAAAGCACAGACAGTGGGAATGGCACCTACTTGACCCTTGCGGTTAGGATGCGGCCGGCGTGTTGCAGACCCGTCAGGGCGATGTACATCCGGAGAATCTCATTGGTTCCCTGTGGCCAGTAATGTAGAGGTCAGAGTTCACCCCGTTGTATAGCCACAGCAATGCTGCATGTGTGCTGGGTAGGCCCAGCCAGTGCCTGCTTGCCCACACTGCAGCAGCCACTGCTTTGGAGCAGCCAGGAGCAGGGCTGTGACCAGGGGTCAGGAGACACACAGGGATGAGTGGGGAGTTGACCAGTGGCCATGGCCTCCATTGGGACCCACCGCCTCTCCATGACCAGCCTCATGTGGTCATACCTTTCTCTAAGGCTCCAGCTCCTCGTTAAAACAGAAGCCAGCTTTCCCTGTGTGGTGGTGGATACTGATGCTCAGGACACAGCAAGTGCCAGGCAGACATCTGCTGGCTCTGGGTCGAGGTCAGATTTTTCAGGGAAGCAGCCAACAGCCAAAAGGCAGCAACAGCTGGAAGCTCCCCAGTACCAGGTGTCAACACCCATAGGGACACTTGCTCACTGCCCCCCACCTATGATTCCGTCTAATTGGTGTGCAGGGCCAGTGGGCTTCTGCCCACAGTGCACAATGGCACTGCATGTCACAAAGACACAGGGGCCTGGCCCAGGCCACACAGCCAGCACTGGGATCCCTTGTAGCCAGGCTATCACCATGGACAGTGGGACTCCCACAGGAGAGGAAGAGGGCAAGTGGCGGCCTCCATGCTGAGCCACTCCCAGCTCCGAGCAGAGTCTCCAGACAGGAACATCTGCCCCACACCAAAGACTCTATGACTGCAGCCTTGAGGGTTTCCTGAACCCTGCTGACCACCCCATCCAGCCATGGAGAAAGGGCCTTGGAGAAGCAGTACTGGTCTAACAGGGCTGCAACATGTCTAGTCCTCTCAGGCTAGCCCTTGCCCTATCTGTCCACTAAGGGAGTGGAAATGGCTGGAACCCATGGGGGCAGGCTTGGAAACAAAAGCAGCCAAGGAGGCCTCCCACTGGACAGGACAGCCCAGGAGCCAAGACACAACTACGAAAGTCTAAGGATGTTCCTCATAACCAGATCTGATGTTCAGGCTCACTCTCCCTGTTTTCGGGTCTGCCTCCTACATAGCCCAAATCCACTGTCAAATCTCATCCACCTAGCCACATTCTCTCAATTCCATCCCTTCTCTCCCAGCAGGAGAGCCCCCTGACCTCTGGCCTCATTTCTATAACTCACCCTCCATGCTAGCCCTAGAGAGAATTTCCGAGAACACAAATACGACAAAATCATTCCATGCTCAAAAACCTGATGGCCCCCAAAATTCCTCTGCTTGTCAATAGAGGTCCTCCATAGTTGGCTACTTTCCTAGCCTTCCCGCCGATCCTCTGCAATCCCTACTTCCTACTCTACCTGCTCCAGCTACTTAGCAGGACTGAATGTACTTAGCAGCATATTCAGTAGCAGCACATTCAGTCCTACTAAGTGAGTAGAGAGCCTTATTCTCCACTCACCTTGTGCTAGGTCAGTCCTGCCTGGCCCGACACACTCTACTGCCTTGCCCCTTAGCCCAAACTGCCCTCCCCTAATCCTGGTCAAAGGCCTTTCTACCCCTAAGGAACAAGTGCACATACTTCACAGGGCTCCAGCTCCCTCTGGGAGGATGCACACCTCTGTTTCTACCTTACTTGCATTACAGTACCAGCCTTGGGCAAGCCATGCTGCACAACCAGAATACAGCATCCCAAAGTCATCTCTGTGGCCCTGGCCTCTCCTCCTGCCTGGCACATGCTAACTGAATGGACTAGGCTTGTGACTTCAAGGAGGGAAGCAACAGACAATGACAGAAGTCTGGACTAAAATAACCCTCAGGGATGATCCTGAACTGCCTCAGTATACCGAGGAGGGATCAAGACCATACAGTGTGCACTTGAGGCAGAGCTGGAGCTGGGACTGAACCCAGATTTCCTTCCAGATGATCTGTTTGTTCCCCATATCCAGTCAGTAGCAACTTGGCAAAGACCCACAATGGGTCACCAAGAGGCAGTAGGAACAGTGGAAAGGGCCCTAAAGAGTAGGACCGTGAGTGAACTACTTGGCTCTCGACAGCTCTAAAAATGGGATCTATGCAGGGTTGTTAAGAAGATCCAGTGCGAGAACACACAAGCCAGTGCTGGGCCACAGCAGGCCTCGGCCAAGCCCTCTGCAGCATGTCCCCCAGGACAAAGAAGGAGAGGAGAGGGACACTGACAGGCGGTCCACAGCAGAGTGCAGCCTGGCTGGCAACAGGGCCACTCACCTCGAAGATGAGGAGGATGCGGGTGTCACGCAGCATGCGTTCATAGGGGTAGTCCCTCATGTAGCCTGAGCCCCCGAAGATCTGCAGCGCTTCGCTCACACACTGCCAGGCAGCTTCGGAGCTGAACACCTGCCCCAGGCCCAGGACAAGGTCAGCACAGGGCGCCATTGCTGAATCCCTCCCAAAAGAGGGACTTAGGCTGCGCGGAGCTGGTGGCCAGGGACAAGTGGGAGGCCGTGTGTGAAGACCTCAGCTTGGGGATGGAACTCACTGGCAAGCACGTCCTTTGCCTTCCTTGACTCACTGACCAGTTTGTGGTCCACAGCTGCACCATGACCTTCCACATCTGGCTCCACTCCTGTTCTGTTAAGCCCACCTGAGATTTCCCCATCTCCAGGAAGCACTGACCCACTCCCACCCAGCCTCATCTGCCATGGCTACATTCTCCACACTTGAATGTCTATTGGGATGCCTCACCCCTCATGACCACAGCTTATTTCTGTCTTTGTACACTGTGAACCCTTCAGGGGCAGAGAAACTGTCATATTTAGCTCTGGGCTTAGCATCTGGAAGAGAGTTGGCTCACAGACACCAGCTCACACCTGTGGTTACTGTCAAAGGGGGATATGGTGACATGATTAAACACACACAAACACACCTAACACATAGGCTGAACCTAGATAAGGCGCACTGATACACTGCAAAAGAGCCTCAGCCTTTCAGGTAGCCTTCCTGCTGACACCAGGATGTTCACTCTCTAAGCTCTCAATCTCTTACCACTTCTCTCAAGAGTTCAATTTGAGACCAGTTTAAAAACAATTTGGGGGTAACAAGTAGGGTGGCCATCTTTTTTATTATAGCTGAAAAATGACACTTGTCACCTCAAACAAAAGCAACAGAATACTCTTGTGTCTACCTCAAATATTTTAATTTTTCTTTTATTAAAAAAGAGACTGGTTCTTGCTATGTTGCCCAGGCTGGTCTTGAACTTCTGGGCTCAAGTGATCCCCGTGCCTTGGCCTCCCAAAGTGCTGGGATTACAGGTGTGAAACACCATGCCTGCCTGAAAATATTTTAAGAGAAATGTTGGTTGGGCACAGTGGCTCATGTCTGTAATCCCAGCACATTGGGAGGTGGAGGCGGGAGGATTACCTGAGACCAGGGGTTCAAGACCATCCTGGGCAACTTGGCAAGACTTCATGTCTACCATAATAAAAAAATTAGCCAGGCATGGTGGCATGTGCCTGTAGTCCCAGCTGCTTGATAGACTGAGGCAGAAGGATTATCTGAGCTCAGCAGGTTGAGGCTACGGTAGTAGTACTAATCATGCCATTGCACTCCAGCCTGGCTGACAGTAAGGTTGTGATTAAAAAAGAAAAAGCACGGTGGTTCACGCCTGGAATCCCAGCACTTTAGGAGGTGGAGGTGAGAGGACTGCCTGAACCCAGGAGTTCGAGACCAGCCTGGGCAACTTGCCGAGACCTCGTCTCTACAGTAAATAAAAAAATTAGCCAGGCATGGTAGTGCACGCCTGCAGTTCTAGCTACTTGGAAGGCTGAGGCAGAAGGATCACCTGAGCCCAGCGGGTCAAGGCTGTAGTGGCTGTGAGCATGCCACTGCACTCCAGCATGGGTGAAACAGTGAGACTCCGACTCAAAAAAAAAAAGTTCTGATACCAAACAGTAGAAAAGTCTTAAACTAAGAGAAAAAGACAGTCCTTCCCATTATGACAGGAAATTATCATAATGGTCTGTGTTTTCTCCTTTTGCTATCAACTACTGACTGACTACTGAAAACTTGGCACAAACTATACTGGGGAAACACTGAGCATTCCTGCAAACCGACTGGGCACTGATTTTTGCCACTTCTCCTCAAGGGCCTGCCTGTCCCTGGCATGGTACTTAGTGGATGCTCACAAACAATGGATCAATGACAGACTTGCCTCTAGACTAGTAAGAAAAGAAAGACCATGGGCAATACCATAGGCCTGAAAGACGACAGGGTGGGAGCTTTCCAGAGCCTCCCTCCAGAGCCAACTCTCTGGCTATACGGGGTTACCTTCACCATGGCTGCCTCAATGGAACAGTCGGGAAACCCTGGTCGGTCCAGCATCCCTGCAGTGAGGTAGGTCATACTTTCCATAACGTAAGCCTTCTGAGCCATCAGTGCAAACTTCTCCTGCAGTGTTGAGAAAAAAAATCACAATCAAGAGGCAACCTGCATGTGTTGAGACCCAAATGTGCCAACCAGTATGGAAGGTAGTTAAGTCAGAAGCCTCACTACCTGAGAACAGCAAGTCCAGACACTAATAAAAGAGACGCGTGTTAAACGAAGCCTTAGTCTCCTTTTCAAATCACCACACAAGAGTCACCAGTTCAGAGGACCAAAAGAGCACATCTTTCGCATCCCACAGTGAAATTAACAAATATGGCATGCATAACCTTTAGTACCTGAATTAGTCCAAATTCACTGAGATTCCTGTTGAACTGTTTCCTCGTGCAGGCATAGTCAGCGGTCATTTCTGAAGAGAGCAGAACTGTTAGAAAGACCTAGAACACTTCTGGTTGTGCAAAAGTGACTTTTTAAGGCTATCTTCACTCTTCACACGCGCAGGCAGGAACTATGAGAATGTGTCTGCTGACATCAAAGGCCCTGAAAGCCACTGTGCCACCTTCTAGTCATGTAGGTCAGAGGCAGGACTGCCTGCTCCTTGTGGCACCCACCCTTGGCGCTCCAAGTCAGATGTGGATTTCAATCCGGGCAGTGTCTTGCCAGCTGGTGACTGGGCCAAGCACTGTACCTACATGATCAAAAGTACCCCCCACAGAGTTGCTGTGAAGATGAAACCAGATGGAAGGTGGAAGGCGGCCAGCAAAGAGGCCCCAGACGGAGATGGGGTGGGTCCACACCAAGCACAGGTATCCCCCTACCAAAACAAGAGGTGCAACTTGGTTTGAAAACTCAGGCCGGGGGTTTCCAGGATTACAGTTGTGAATATGGGCTGGGCTCTGAGGGTCCCTGATGGCACAGTGACTGTCCACCCAGGCGTCAGCACATGAGCCCCACCCACAGCCCATGTTCTCCAAATGCCTTCAAAGGTGAGATGGGCTTAGGGCTGTGGGATCTCATGAGAGGTCCTGCATTGTTTGAGGGCCAGGCTGGCCAGGAGAGGTCCCATGGAACTCTTGAACTGAGGAGTGTTCCAGAGGCCTTGTGAGTCATAAGAGCCCAAAGCTTGGTGCCTGACAGCTTTAGCTCTAGGTCCAGGTGTGTGGTCTGGGGCAAGTTCTTTGTCCTCTCTGAGCCTCAGGCTCCTCATCTATAAAATGAAGGGAAGGGCCAGGCTTGGTGGTTTATGCTTATAATCCCAGCACTTTGGGAGGCAGAGGCAAGAGGACTGCCTGAGCCCAGGGGTTAGAGACCAGCCTGGACAACATGCCAAGACCTTGTCTCTACAATAAATAAATGAATAAAAAGTTAGCCAGGTGTGGTGGTTTGTGCCTGTAGTTGCAGCTACTTGGAAGGCTGAGGTCAAGGCTGTGGTAGCTATTGAGTGAATCTTTGCACTCCAGCCTGGATACCAAAGTGAGATTCTGACACATACACACACAGAACAAACAAACAAACAAAACACATGGAGGAAGGACCCAAAACAAAGCCTTTGTGTGTCCACCTTGCACTGAACTCAAAAGGCTGGGTCAGAGCCTAGCATCAGAAAGAAACTTCACCAAGTACTCAGGAGTATGTAATCCCGGGCACTCCCACCCCCATGTCCCTGCAGTCATTTCCACACTAAGATGGTTATATGGCGGTTCCACATTCACTGGCAAAGTACAGTCTAGGTTCCAGGTATCCTGACAGAGGAGAACAAAAAAAGAACCCAGCTGGGTGTGGTGGCTCAAGTCTATAATCCCAGCACTTTGAGAGGCTGAGGTGAGAGGATTGCCTGAGCTCACAGGTTTGAGAACAGACTGGGTAACTTGGCTAGACCGCATCTCTACAATAAATTTAAAAAAGCAGCCAGGTGTGGTAGCACATGTCTGTAGTTCCAACTACTTGGAAGGCTGAGGCAGAAGGATCACCTGAGCCCAGCAGGTCGACTATGAGCATGCCACCATACTCCAGCCTGGACATGGGAGTAAGACTCCAACTGCCCCACCCCCCAAAAAAACACAACAAAGCAAAAAAAGGACCCAAGAGCCAAAAGATCTGAGTTCTAAACCCAGCCCCACTCCTCACCCACTGTGCAAGGCCACTATAAAACAAAGATCTTGTGAAGGTCAGAACCCATGTCTCCTCAGAGATTGGTCGTGTGTGTTCCCCAAGTGGCTGTGTTCCTGGTGTGATGGCCTCTATCCCTGATGTGGAACGTCCATGCCCCCATCTCCATAGTCTCCGTGTGTAGGTAAAACAGTCATGTTGGAAGAAGAAGACTAACCTCTGGGACAGACTGAGCGTATTCTCTGGTCTAAACGAAAGCCCAGACACTAAGCTGAGCTGGACCGACTGTCCAGGTGGCCAGGCTCAGCACTGGCCTGGAAACAGCCCCGGGAATGGTAGCTCCAGCTGGAGTCAGGCAGCAGGGACAAGACCCCAACTCACCTACCAATCAATTTCTTGAGCATCCCGGCCACGGCACTGCCCATGCTGAACCGCCCACTGTTGAGGATGTTCATGGCCACCTGTAGGGAGAGGCCGAGATACTGAAGGGCAGGGAAGAGATCACAACAGTGCTCATCTACTTCTACCCGAGTGGCCGAGCTACTCATCCAGCCTTCCTCAGGCTGGAGGAGAGCATGTTCCTAATGCTACAAAACAAGGTGTTCAGCCTGAAAGACTCAAAAGAACCATACTTGCTATGAAAGGAACGTTTACTGTATGAATTCCTACCTCACGTTTGCTGTATTTTATAAATCCCTACCTCAGACCCACAAGACCAGGCATATGTCGAGTGCCTGGTAGTAACTGTGCCGGGTGCCTGGTAGTGACTGTGGCTGTAAAATTACAAAATATTTGCAGTGTTTGTACTTAGAACTTTGTTAAGTTTTTGTTTGTCCCATAATAACCACATTAATTGAAATAACCGGCTTCTTCTGCTGGCAGTGTGTGAATGTTAAGCAATAAGCCCCTCCCGGACATTCCTTTGCTTGAATTATGGTGGGCTCTGTGGCACCAGCCACTCTTCTGGTGGGCTTTGTGTTATTTCAAACCTGCTTGTATGCCTGAACTGATTTATGCACAGTCACAATGACCGGGTAAACTGCAGCTTATCTAACATTCCAGATGGCTAATTAACTCCACCCTGCCCGTGTAGCCGTTAGTAGTCAATCACAGGCAGCTGAGCCCGCGCCCGTGCAAATCAAAAACAAACCCACCAACCTCAAGCTCTCCTGTCCCCTGACATCACCGCGGACCTAATTGGGAACTAATTCTGCAAGGTCCGTGGACTTCGTGTTCTACGTCATGCCTTCTTCTAATAGGATAATGTCTCAAGCCTAGGAAAAACTGGTCACGCCCAGTCCCTCCCTCATAACTGTGTATATAAACTACTTGGTGTACTAGGTCTGGGCTCTCGTTCCTGTACCGCTGCGCCGGTCACAGACATGAGCCCAACTCGAGCCTGAATAAAGACCCTCATGTGATTTGCATCGGAGCTGGCTCTTTGGTGGTCCCTCGGATTTAGGACTTTGGGGTACTACAAGCCACTGAGACAGCTCTCACCAACATGCTTGGAGTCACCTCCCCACACACAGGAAAACCATCAAACAACAGCATTCCAAAAGACCATGTCTATTCTCTCTGTCCTCAGGGGGAAGGGGCTAGGAACTAAGATGTACTGGGTAGGTGCTGCAAGCTACCTATACTTCCCAGGACCGCTTCGAGGTCAGGATCCTCATTTCTCTGAGGAAGAACCTGAGGTTCAAAGTGGTGAGGTGATTCTCCCAAGGTCCAATAGCAAGCGACTACCCGGTTTCCAAGCCCTTACTCTGAGATGACCCTGGTGAACTCAGCCCAGTTCTGACAGTAAGGACCTGGTGACTTTGCTGACTTCTCCCCAACTCCCCACTCCATCTTTCTAACGCAGAGTGAGCAGCCAATATGAGGGATGGGCTTGCAGTCCTGGTGTCCACAGGCTGTACCAGCTTGTCTGGGTTCCTGGCAGCTCCCGACAGACCATAAAGGGCGCAGACACAAATGGCCAGCTACATAGCAGGTGGTCAGTGGTGTGGTGTGGAACTGAGGGGGGTGTCCAAGTCCAGGGGAGTGTCTAGTGTGAGGAGAGGGAATGCTGGGTGACAAAGGCTTCTCCAAGGAGTCACCAAGCTGGGTCTGCCAGGCCAGGTGGAGAACGGACATGTGCGAAGCCCCAAGGCCTCCAGCTAGGGCCTCCTAAAGGACAGCTCTGCTCACCCAGCCCTAGACACACAATGAGGAGTCTCTAAAGGCAGGGCAAGGGCATAGGGGCAGAAAGGAAGGCTGTGGACCCTCCAGTCTTCCTAAAACCTCAACTTCAATCTATGACTGCTTTTTGCTGGATGCTTGTTTACATGTGCCGTGGATTATTAATAAAACCCGCAACAGAATTTGAATTACTGATAACTTGTTAAACAACCTGAATGGGAGACTCAAAACAGATCCTGTGGGGGAAATAGCAGGTCCTCAGGGGTTGGAAACTACTCTAAACCATTGGGCTGGGAGTGCTGACTCTCACCACTCTCACTGGAGGCAGCTGGGAAATTTGGTGCCAAGATCCCTGGGCACTGGCCCAGCTTCCAGAACCAGTTGGGAAGGGGGCCTGGCTAAGTCACCCCACAGCATGAGATTCACATCCACCTCTAGGAAAAGGTCCCGAGGTTGCCCTTCCTGCCGCCTCCTGAGGCCTGAGGAGCAGGTGAGGGCCCCGTTCCTGCTGACCTGCCGAACTCTTGACTTCCTGTTGTCCAGGGCGTGGTTTGACACCGGCCTCTTTCAATCTGCCAGGGAACTATCTTCTGCCTTTCTTCCATCTCGCTCTTCAGAAGCCAGCTCATGCTTTATGAAGGCAATTCAGTTTACCACCCGACAGAGTTTATTATTAACCTCATTTCAATTTTAAATAAAGGAAGCAAAAAAGGGTTTGACTCTAGGCCTCATTCCCCAGAGGATGGAAGACCGGTTGCGCCTTATGTGAGGAGAGACACATGTCCTTCCAGGCAGCCTCGGGGGCCCCTCCTCCAGCCTCCCAGCACTTTATCCCCTTCTCTACCACAAGAGTTTCCTTCTGCAACATTCACAGCCAATGCTCAATCTCAGACTACCCAGAAGCAAGGTTCAATCCATTCTTTCAACAGTCACTGCCTGTCAGCTAGCCTCTGTTTCCTAAAGGTCTGCCAATGGATAAAATTTCCTGACCGTCCCTTCCTCCTGCCTTACTCCACTGCCACCTAGCCTTTGACTGGCTCACGATCTCTGGCATCACTGCAGTGAGTCCTACTTTTTAATATTCAGGCCAACTGGCCAGTAGCCCCACAAGAAACAATGACAAAAACCTCCAGGAACCTGCATTTTAAAACAACAATCATTTCTCACCTACCACAATGGCAAAATATTTCAAAAATACAGTGTTGGAAGGACTAGGGAAAGGGGCATTCTCACCCACTGCTGGAGGGGGCAGACTCGGTCCAACTTCCCAGCAGGCAGCTTGGCAAGGGGGACATGGATCAATAATTTAATGTTCATGCCCACTAGCCCTGTCATTGTCCTGGTGTTTAAACTCAGGAAATAATGAGACAAGTGAGTGAGGACATGTGCCCCATGACATAACAGGGAAGAAAAAAAGCAATGTGAATGTGTGCTAGGGACCTGATGACATGAGAGATGGTGCAAAAGACAAAGGAATACCGTATAGCAGCAAACGTTAGCAATACACATTCACTAGCACCAGGATGGTCAGAATTTCTTGCTAAGAGAAAATACAGGCTATAATATATAACACACAAAATATTGGAGCAATGTGTGTTATTAAAAAAAGATCTGAAAGATAAACATCAAAAACTGTGAACAATGTCAGCTTTCTTGGGCATGGGCTTTAAGGTGACTCCATTTTTCTCCCCATGTTCTCTAATGTTTGTGACACCTGTGTCACATGAATAACACACCGGCATACCAACACAGACAGCCTGTCCTGTGTGTCCTCCCACCTCTCCAGGCCTTTGCTCTCTATTCACTGAGCAATCTCACGTGCCTGAGCTTTGGTTAAAGGTGCCTTGTCCGACTTTTGTAACACCCTAGGAGGGGATGCAGGGATTTCTTTGACACCTGGTTCATTGCCAAGATGGGTGGGGCTCGCCAGGATGTTTTCTAAGTCACTCAGTGAATTAAGGCAGGGAACCAGTAAAAAGACAATCAACCCAACTAAAACATGGGCAAAAGATCGGAACAGATATTTATTCAAAGAAGATGTGCAAATGGCCTAAATAAGCACACGTGAAGATGCTGAATGCAGTAAGTCATCAGGGAAATGCAAATTAAACCCACACTGAGATTCTGTGTCACTCACTAGAATGGTTATAGTGTAAAAAATAGACACTAACATGTGCTGGCAAGGATGTGGAAAAAAATGGTGGGAATGTAAGTGTGCGGCCCCTGTGGAAAACAGGTTGGTAGTTTTTCAGGTTAATCATACAGCCACCATGTGGCTCAGCCATTCTTCATGTAGGTATAAACCCCAAAGAACTGAAAACACAAAAGCTTGATCATAAATGTTCACAGCAGCATTACTGATAACAGCCAAAAGGTAGAAACAACCCCAATGTCCACCAGCTGATTAATGGAGGAACAAAATGTGCATCTCCACACAAATAATTAAGCCATAAAAAGGAATGAATTGCTGATTCATACTATGATGTGGATGAACCTTGAAAACATGCTCCGTGATAGAAGCCTGTCACAAGAGACCTTATATTGTACATGAATCCATTTAAGACTAGGCAAATCCATCCAGAGACACAAAGTAAAATAGCAGTTGCCAAAGGATGGGATAAGATTATACTGGAAGGTATGGCATTTATTTTTGGGGTGATGAAAATGTTCTGGAATTAGAGGGGCGTGATGTTCGCACAACATAGTGAATATGCTAAAAACCACTAAAGTGCCCATTTTAAAAGGGTGAATCTTTTCTTATATGAATTATCTCTTGATAAAAAATAAAGCAATTCGAGTCCCAGAAGAAAAATAAATTAGGGCAGTGACTTAACAGCCAGGGTTGTGTGCGTTCATGGAACCCAAGCTTCTCCAGAGCATACTGGCATGCTTCCTTGTACCCCCTGGGGAGGGGAATTCTCTCCCTCACTTGAGGCAAGTGAGGTCTCGGAGATGCAGGAAGATTCCCAGTTCTCACCACATTCCCTCTTCTAGGGGCTGGCCACTTTCCAGTCTCCATTTTGCTCACCTCCTAATGAACCAGTCACCTGTCAAGCACAGGCCAATTTCCTCCAAGCAAAGGTACCACAGAAAGGAGGGGACTGACAAGACACGCTGTGAAACTGCACAACACTCTGAAGGGGTTGTGGTAGACGGCTCACCTTAAACCCGCCTCCGACTTCTCCAAGGACATTTTCAATGGGCACCCTGGTGTTTTCAAAATGGACTTCGCATGCTGAAACACACGGAATTTAACATCTTATCAGATAAATGCAAAGCACTCTGCACCTGACCTGCCCCATGCAATTCATTCTTTATTCGTCCATTCGTCCATCCCACATCTAGTTGGGACAGTACAGAAAGACAAAGTTCCCATCTTTGTGGAGTTTACACTTCTGTTAAGGGACAAACGATCAGTAAAATGTCACACTGTGATCAGTGCTATGAATGAAAAAAACAGGGCATAGTGACAGACAGAAGAGGAGGTTGGATGGGACAGACAATACCATTTTTTTTCTTTTTTCTTTTTGTTGAGATGAGGTTTCACTATGCTGCCTAAGCTGGTCTCGAACTCCTGGGCTCAAGCAATCTGCCCCCCTCAACCTCCCATAGTGTTGGGATTACAGGCATGAGCCACCATGCCAGGCCTGATAATGCTATTTTTTATTAAGGGATAAGTCAAACTTTACGAAGGTGATATTTAGCAAAGTTTAAAGGATGAGAAAGAATTGGAAACAGAACAAAGCTAATGGACAGGCGTTTCCTAAGGCCTTAGGGTAGATCACTGGTCCCAGTTCTTAACTCTAACACAAATGTACCTCTGCAGTGTGACTGGAGCACCCTCCCCCCTGCAAGGAGGGATGCACTTCCCTTTTCCACCTGTGGATGCTGGCTATGGCCATGTGACTTGCCAACGGACACTAGTTGACCCAACATGAGCAGAAGCCCTAAATGTGCTTTTCTGGTTTGGCTTGGCCCCTTGGGTGCTTGTGATATGCTTCAAGACGAACATGGCAAAAAAAGCACATGGGCAGGCCTGAACCCAACCCACAGCTTGACACAGGCTGTCAGGTAGGTCCCTAGGACTGCAAGGAAACTCAGTGCTTGCTGCTGTCCCAGGTTCTCAGGTGGGCTGTCAGAGAGCATCACCGCAGTGAGGGATGGCTACGGGCCTCAGAGTGAACCCAGACGAGGTCAGTGTGAATAGGACACAGCCAGAGAAGGCTCAGGGTAGCAGGGGGTGGCAAAGGCTAGAAAGGAACAGTGGCTCTGGACTGGATCTTCTGTAACTTGTTTTTTTTTTTGCACATTGTTATAGAAACATGGCAACTCCTGGAGACTTACACCAGAGAAAACGGAGGGTCAGGATAGAGGTCATGGCTCAAGAGTGGCCAGCCCAGGAGTGAGCAACCTGGATCTGCTGATCCTTTGTTCTTCTGTGACACCTGCTGGAAACGCTTGGCTCTGAAAGGTGATGAACTGTGTTCCTCTGGCTGCAGGGTTGTATGAGGCTCGTGGTACATGGTTGCAGGACCAGTTGCTTCTCCCAAAGACTCTTGTTCCCCATAGGCTGTGGGTGTGGGTCGGACCCTGCCTTCTTCTCTGAGCTTGCTTGTGCCACCTGACCCTCTCATGGGGTCATAGCACGCCAGTGGGCACCACCAACTCTGACGGCAGCATGGATCACATCCCTTATGCACGGTTGGTGGCAGCCCCGGGCCTCTCCCTCCACCTTTTTCCCTGCCAACATGCCACACACCTAGCCTCATTCTCTGAAGGCCTCTGCACACGTGCCTTCCTCTGTGGGCAGTTTCTGAGGGGAAGCAGCACCAGTCGCGGTGGTAACACTGGCAGCAGCAGGGAACACCAAAATGTTTCTACACACAGAGCACCTAACACACACCTCACCCTCCTTTCTCACATTCCTCCAGGAGGGGGTTCTAGCAGCAGCCCTTCCCTTTATCTGAGGGAACTGCAATGCAGAAAAGTAAACAGCTGTTCAAGGCCACAAAGATCCCAAGTGGTGGGGCTCAGGGCAGAGCTTGGACCCTTGGCCTCTCCAGCCTGAGCAGCTGGCAAGGCGAATGCCACCATCCCGAATGCAGGAGCCCCAGAGATGGCTCACAGAAGGGTCCCCTCCAGTGTAGACCTACAGAGACCCAAGAGAAAGAGTGCTGTGAGGACTCCATGGAAGCCCTGGGCAGACCAAGGACAATTCACAGGACACCAGTCTTGAGGGAACCGAGTGCTTACCAGGGACTACAGTGGGCCTGGATGGGGGCAGGGAGAGTGAGAGGAAGGAGGAGGTACCAGCAGGAAAGTTGAGGGTTTTCTATCAGTGTTCACCTAGGACACTCCATCTTCTCCCCTTCTTGGTACCCACTGCCACCTCTCCCAAAAGGCCAAGAGCTCTGATGGTCTTACTTACCCTGAAACTGCCAGTGCTCAAAACCCTGAGAGGTCAATTGGTATCTGTCTAATCAATGAATTCATTGAAAGGAACTCATCAGGCAAACCCCTTGGGTCCGCTCCCACTGTGGGAGCTTTTCTAGCCTCTCAACAAATCCTGCTTTCTCACTTATTAAAAAAAAAAGACCAAAAACAAAAAAGGAATTCATCAGCATCACCATGGAAAAGCGTCTTATGGTATTTTTAACTTGGCCTTACTAAAATGCTTAAGAGAAACCTAAACTTTGAAAATCTCATTTTATCTTGATATTAGGACAGAGCAGAGGGTCATTCTCTCTCTCTCAGGCACATGTATGCACACAGCTACTTACTGTTAGAGCCCCGAATGCCTAACTTATCTTCAGGTTTCCCATGAGTGACTCCACCAAAGTCTCTTTCTACTATGAATGCTGTGATTTTGTCTTTTATTGAGCTGTCGGAATCAACAACCTCAGTCTTTGCAAACACGGTGAAAATATTGGCGAGTCCTCCATTGGTGATCCAGACCTGAAGAAAGAAAGAAGCACTGTGGAAAAAGCCAAACCCCTACATAATCCGTTGAGCTCCAGGTGCCGGTCAGACTTTAGGACAGACAAGCCAAGTTCTCAGCTCTGCCAAAGCCAAGCCTGTGTGAACAAAGGATGGGGCTCAGCCAAGTCTCCCCAGAGCAAGGAATTTCCCAAGGGACACAGAGAGCCAGGATGGGGTGGATGGAGAAGAGCGGCCAATGGGCCTGTGACAGCTCAGGTTCCACCACCAGACAGTTGGGTTTCTTCCAGAAAGAAGATGTTTTATTTCACAAGGTATTCATATATGAAAACATCACATTGTACCTGTAAATTAAATATATATTTATTTGTCAATTAAAGAAAGAAATAAAAAAAAGAAGGGGAAGGGAGGAAGGGTTAGGGGGAGAAAGGAGAAAAGGGTGAAAGAAGAAATAAGACTGCTCAACTAACTGCAACGTATGGAGCTTATTGGATCTTGATTCAAGCAAGCAAACTGTTAAAAAATAGTGTGGGGCAATTAGAAATTTGAAAGTTGACTAGATAGTTAAAAACTATCATCATTTTTTTTGATGTGATAATGGTATTATCGCTTAGATAATGGTATTATGGCTGAGACTATTTTTGAAAAATATTTCTATCATTTAGAGATACAAGCTAAGTGTCCGGACTGTTGATGTGATCCAGAGGTAGTGATGCTGCCAGTAGACACCCAGCAGCTGTGAGCAAGTAACTGCTAGAGCAGGTTCCAGGTACGGGGAAGTGCTGGACACCAAACTTCTGAATACGTTTGACATTTTATGTAACAAAAAATATAAAAACAGTAATCCCAGCACTTTGGGTGGCTTAGGTGGGAGGACTGTTTGAAGTCAGGGGTTCAAGACTGGTTCAAGCAACATAGAGAGTCTCTGTCTCTACAAAAAATTTTTAAATTAGCTGAGTGTTGTGGCACACACCGGTACTCCCAACAACTCAAGGTGTTAAGGCAGGAGGATCACTGAAGTTAGAAGTTCAAGACAAGTCTGGGCAATATAAAAGAGCCACTTTGTTGCCAGATCCCCTTCTCTACAAAAAAATCAGTCAGGTGTGGTGGTGCATGCTTGTAGTCCCAGCTACTCAGGAAACAGAGGTGGGAAGATTGCTTGAGCCTAGAAGTTGAAGGCTGCAGGGACCGAGGATCACACAACTGCACCCCAGTCTGGGCGACAGAACGAGACCTTGTATCCCAAAACAGACACACACACACACACACACACACACACACACACACACAAAGGCAGCTCAAGGATGTATTTGGTGCTACAGACTCTGGATCAGCCAGAACACTGTGGGTTCAATCCTGGCTCTGATCAAGAAGAGACTCAGGCCGGGCGTGGTGGCTCATGCCTGTAATCCCAGCACTTTGGGAGGCAGAGGCAAGAGGACTGCCTGAGCCCATGGGTTCGAGACTAGTCTGGGCAACATGGTGAGACCTCATCTCTACAATTAAAAAACAAAAAATTTGCCGGGCATGGTGGCACACCCCTGTAGTTCCAACTATTTGGAAGACTGAAGCACAAGAAGGATCACCTGAAAATCCAGCAGGCCGATGCTGTGGTGGCCGTAAGTGTGCCACTGCACTCCAGCCTGGGCAACAATGAGACTCCAACATGAATGAATGAATGAATGAATGAATGAGTTAATGAATAAGTGAATGGGTTAATGAATGAGTAAATGTATGAATGAATAAATGAATGAATAAGTACATGAATGAATAAGTACATGAATGAATAAGTAAACAAATGAATGAATAAATAAGCAAGTAAATGAACACATAAGTAAATAAATGAATAAATAAGTAAATGAATAAATAAGCAAATAAATGAATGAATGAATAAATAAGTAAATGAATAAACAAACAAGTAAACAAAGCTGACAGTGTTTAAAAAAACAAAAAAAGAAGAGACTCAGAACCTGGGCAAGTCCTCAGCCTCTTTGAACCATAGCAGCTTCTTCTGAGAAAGGAGAGCAGCATCACCCAATGAGAGGTCAAGAGATGGTACTGGGCACACCCCTGACCACACCTGGTGCCTGCAAAGTGCCCACTCAGGGGTACTGCAGACGTGACTGAGACCCCGACACACCATGAGGATGTGGTCCTACCTTGGAGCCGTTGAGGACGTAGTGCGTCTTGTCCTCACCTAACGTGGCTCTGCTCCGGATGGAGGCTGCATCACTCCCGCTGTTGAGAGAGAGAGATGGAGTTGTAGAGAACAACACTGGGAAAAAGGCCTGAGAACAGAGGGTTTAGTGCTTTAAAACTGTGGTTGGTAAACTTTTTAAATGAATGGTCAGAGGATAAATATACTTGGCATTCTGAACTACAGGATGTCTGGCTGTCTCTCTTTCTTAACTCTGCTGCTAGAATATAAAAGCAGCCACAGACAATTTGTAAAAAGATGGGCACATTCCAGTAATACTTTATTGATAAAAACAGGTGGCCTCTACTTCAGTAAATGAGGCAAAAAAGGTAACAAGGGAAGCAAGGCAGGCAAGGGTTTAAACACAGAAATGTGTTTCAAAGAATCTGAAGTGCTAGTTCAGGAAGGCCTAGGAGGGATGACTGTTTCCAGATGCCCAGGCAAAGGGAAGCAGGATGGAGTGTGGTCCATGTAATGTACTTGCCATCAGAAGCCCCGAGTCTCACTCAGCCCTGCTCCATCCCAGCCACGTGGCCTCAGGTTGGCCACACAACCTCACTGAACCTCAGTTCCTGATCTGCCAAAGGGGCCAGTACCACCCACCTTGCATACGCTGAAAGTTGTTTGCTGCCTGAATGCATTACCATATGTCAAGGTATGTTGTAAACCACACACATTTATTTACCAGGTATGTTATCTCATTTGCAAGTTTCATTGGGACAGAGAAGTAAGGTCAAGATCAGAGAACAAGGAAGAACAGTTGCTGACTTGACATTTTAAAAAATATAGTTTATTTAAAAGTAAACTAGAGTGAGAAAGGGAAGGGAGAGAGAAGATTCACCTCCCCAAGGTAGGGGAGGAGGGGCAAAGCCAGGAAGCATGGTGACGGCCACAGTTCAAAGAGCACATGGCTACACCAGAGTCTAGCAAGGCAATGACAGTTGACTTGATTTATTGGAAGATTTTGGGAATAAAAGTCAGCTACTCACAAAAATAGCCGCCCACCCCTTGTCCCAGTGAACCTTGGAAAATGCCATTGCATAACACCTTGTGGGGACGGGGCATGAGGTGGGGGCAGACCTGGCAGGCTCCGTGAGGCAGAAGGCTGCAATGTGCTCCCCAGATGCCAGCTTGGGCAAGTATTTGGCTTTCTGCTCCTCAGTGCCGGCCAAGATGATCCCCTAAGCAAAACATACACAGACCAGTTTCAGCTGTGAGGAGAAAGGGAGTGTGAGATGGGCTTGTTCCCCTTCTGAGGAAAGTACCTGCATCACACAAAAGAAGACAGCATCAGCTTAGAGTGGGCAGCCTAGGCGGAGCCCAGGGAGCTTGGATGCTGAGATCACCAAGAGCGCCCACACCAGGGCAGGCTGTGCAGAGTCTGGGATTTTCAACACATTCCATTTTCCAGCCCCATGGCCTTGGGCAAGGAATGTCCCATCTCAGTTATCTACAAAAGGGGACACCCCACTCACCAGCAGAGGGTCTGGATGACACCATGTGAAGACACAGAAGTGCCAGAACCAAACCGAGTATGAGAAGGTGCTTGGTCAATGCCAGGGCTGCCCCCCCCACTACTCAGTCAATGCCACGTGGACAGGCCCCTTAAAGTGTGGGCTCTCTGGCGTGGGGAGCTGAGCATGAAGGTTCTTGCTCTCTTGCCTGTCTACATGAGCAGAAATAACCCAAATGACGAGGATGCCACTCACGGGTGTGTGATCCTGGACCTGCCCCAACCCAGCCAGGGGAAGAAGCTGCGTACACCAGCAGCAGCAGGGGCTCCGCCCTGAATGACAAGAGAGCACAGGAGAAGTACAAGAGGTTTCATGGCCAGCTATGGTGAAGGAAGCAGCATCTGACTGGGGGGCCCTGAAGGATGGGTTGAGTGATGGGAACAGGAGAGGATGTCAAAGGGAAGGGACAGAGTGACTAGAGTGGGCCAGTGTAGGTGCATGTGTGGGGACTGAGCACCACAAGGTGTGGCTGGAGTGAGGAAAATGCAGGGTGGGCTGTGTGTCAGGTATCAGGCCTGACTCACTTCTCATGAAAGTGAGCAAGCTCCTGCCTCTATACCACCAGGTGATTGCAGAAGACCTCCAGAAAGCCCCGAATAGAAACCCCAGACACTTGACCTTGAGGCCAATAGCCTGGTGTGCTGCCAGAGTCACTGCGATGGACCCGTCCAGGCTGATGATCTCCCCTAGCCGTGCATACATGGTGTTGGAGAAGCCCAAGCCACCTAGGAGAGACAGACCAATTAAGCACAGCCCTACCCCAGATTCCCACACTGAGGCAAATGGCTTACTGGGTGTTTTCAGATATAAAACAATGCCAGATCACCATTAAAAAAAAATAGCCCACAGTCTTATCACTCAGAAAGAACCTCTCTCTGTATATCCTTTCAGACTTTTTAAAATATGTAAACATATAAGTATACAGTTATCTATATATACACTGAATCCCTTAGTGTGTTGCAGGGACCTTCCATCACAGATGTAAATCTTTAAATGCAGAGTGTCTCATTGCCCAGTACCCAGAAGACAATAGGATGGCGTTTCTCCGCCTTGGCACTGTAATATTTTGGAATAGGCTGTTCTCTGTCATGGGGATCCGACCTGTGCACTGTAGGATGTTAAGCAGAATCCCTGGCTTGTATAATTATTATTAATGTGTGTGTTTTTTTAAGTTGGGGTCTCACTCTGTCACTCAGGCTAGAGTACAGCAGTACAATCACAGCTCACTGTAGCTTCCACCTCCTGGGGTCAGGCAATCCTTCCGCCTCAGCTTCCTGAGTAGCTGGGACTACAGGCACATGCTACCATACCTGGCCACTTTTTTTATTTTTGTAAAGAGGAGGTCTCACTATGTTGCCTGGGCAGGTTTCAAACTCGTGAGCTCAAGCAACCTCCTGCCTTGGCTTCCCAAAGTGCTGGGATTACAGACATGAGCAACCATGCCTGGCCTGGCCTGGCCTTATGTCAAAAGGACCTGAGAGTAAAAGTAAATTGCACACATGAGTGTTTGTGTGTGACCTATTCCTTTGACACATTTTCTATTCCCCCTGCCCCCCACACCCCTTGCTAGTCCCTTTAATCTCTACAGAATTTAGGTGATCAACTTGAGAATGGGTGAAAAGGAGACGAGCTATAGTGACTGGCCAACTCTAATAAGGAGAAAAACACTGGGAACCTGGGGAAAAGGGTAAGGTCTTTCACTTGGGGGCTAAATACATCACTACAATGCTCAAAGAATGATAGAGACAGTCCAAAGGACAGAGGTCACATCTCCCACCTTGACGTGTCTTGCACCCCACAGCCAGCCACACGATACGCCTTATTCCTTGGTCCCGGGATGAAAAGAGCAGGACTCCACAGCTCTTCTCCCTACAAGTCCCTCAGTTGGTCCACACTCACTCACTATCTAGCCCATGACGAATGTTATCCTTTATTGCAGTGGGGTGACAACTAGATCTTAAATGTAAGGCATTTAAAAGCCAACCTGCCTGAACAGAAACTTTTTTTTTCCTGAGTCGGAGTCTCACTCTGTCGCCCAGGCTGGAGTGTAATGGCACGCTCACGGCCACCCCAGTGTCAGTCTGCTGGGCTCAGGCAATCCTTTCATCTCAGCCTTCCAAGTAGCCGGGACTACAGACATGTGCTACCATGCCTGGCTAGTTTTTTGACTTATTGTAGAGATGAGGTCTCGTGAAGTTGCCCAGGCTGTTCTCCAACCTGTGGGCTCAGGCAATCCCCTCATCTCGGCCTCCCAAAGTGCTGGGATTACAAGCTTGAGCCACCATGCCTGGCCCAGAAACCTTTTAAGGAGTGCTTTCTTAAGAGCTAAACCAGCCGGGAGGTGTTTCCTTGACTTACCATATTCTTCTGGAATCTGCATCCCAAAAAGCCCTAGGCTCTTCAGTTTCTCTAGAGTTTCATCTGAGATTTTCCCCTCCTGGTCAATTTTTTGAGAGTCCACTGCCAAGAGGAAATAGCATGTAAACAAATATAAGCTATATTTATACAAATAAAAGTAAACAGAACAGTTTTTGCAAATTATCCAAAGTCACAAAGTAACTAGAAATTGTGTAGCCATAGTCACTAAGCACGTGTTTAATTTTATGTAATTAGCCCAGGAAGAATTGTGTTTTCAAAAGCTACCAGAGCTAGGTAGTGTTGTGATCCCTGGGTCTGGATGCTAGTCATATGAGTGCTTTCAGTGTGTAAAACAGCAGCAAATTATACATTGATGAGATGTACATTTTTCTGTAGGCATACTAAACTTCATTATGCTTTTGGTCAGTAATTTCAGAGAATAAACATGAAACTCTCAGAACTGCACTCAAGATGTTTAGCCAGATAGACACCTCTAGGTAGTATCTGGCCAAGACTCACCTTGCTGTCAGAGGCTATGTTGCACAGTCTACAAATTCTGAGTCATTTAGTCATTTACTAACTCATTCATTCATTCAACATTCATTAGAGCAAAACTGGACAATCAATCAATAGCATTAGGTCTGTAATTATATACTTTTTTATGCATCAAGTTAATTAAAGTGTACTCCTGAATTGTTAAGTAATAAACTTCATCGGAATTATAAATTGTGAAATAAGTGCCATAACCAATGCTGAGGAATTTTGTACACGATTCACTAAAGAGACCCATGGATTACCCAAATGCAGTCCAAAGTCCTCATTTTGTATCCTTTTATGATTGTTGAGTTTAGACAACTTTAGAGAAACTGTTGAATTCTGACGTGTTTGCCTGTAAAAATGTCACAATTAGGAAGGACTGTGATCAATTCTTCCATCCACCTTCATTGCCAGTCAATCACAAATCTTTTTACTTACAGATTAGTTTGCATTTTTGAGTTTTATGTAAATGGATTCATGTAGCAGATACTTCTTTCTTTTTTTTTTTAGTTGGAGTCTCAGTCTGTCACCTGAGCCCAGGATGGAGGGCAGTGGTACGCTCACGGCCACTGCAGCCTTGACATGCTGGGCTCAGGCAATTCTTCTGCCTCAGCCTTCCAAGTAGCTGGAACTATAGGCAAGCATCCCCATGTCCAGTGAATATTTTGATTTATTGTAGAGACGAGGTCTTGCCAAGTTGTCCAGGCTGGTTTCAAACCCCTGGGCTCAGGCAATCCTCTTGCCTCTGCCACCCAAAGTGCTAGGATTACAGGCATGAGCCACCATGCCTGGCAGCAGGTATTTCTTTTCCCTATTGTTCGATATTCTATTGTACGGGTGTACACTGTTTATCTAAATTTGATAAACAGTATAAACACACAGAGCCAAGAAGCTCAAAGAACTCCAAGCAAACGAAATGTAAAAAATGACGTCAACACAGATGATAATCAATTTCCCAAAAACCACTTAAAAGCAACCAGAGATGAAAGAAACACTATGTACAAAGGAAGGAAGATCAAATGATAGCAGACATCTCATCAGAAGCAACATGAAGCCAGGAGAGGAGGAACACCATCATTGGCCTGAAAGGAAAATACTGTCAAGACAGAAATATTTTCTAATGAAACAGACGTTTCCAGACATACAAAAGATGAGAACGTTCACCCCCTGCAGAACTGCACATCATGAAATGTGAGAGTCCTTCTCACAGAAAAGCAATGAGGCCAAAAGGAATTCTGAATCTACTTGAGAATGAAGACCCCTAGAATCAGTAACAAGATAGGTAGCCATAAAATCATTTTTTCTTATTTTAAAATTTGCTCTGAAAAATAAATGAACAACAACAAAAAAGGTGCAGGCCTTTTTGTAGACACTGAAAAGCTGCTTCTAAAATTGATAAGGAAATGCAAACGACCCACAGGAGTCAAAACAGTTTTGGAAAAGGACAAAGTGGAGAACACTCATTCTCTGATTCTCACCCTTACCAAAGGCTCAGTGAATGAGACAACGTAATATTTATATAAAGATAGACAAATAGATCAGTGTAACAGAATAGATAATTCAGAAATAGACCCACACATAAATGGCCAAATGATTTTTGACAAAGGTGTAGTATCCTTTTCAATAGGAAAGGATATAAATGTTGCCAGAATTATTGGATAACAAGATGCAAGAATAACCATCCACAATCTTTACCTCCCCCATACCCCAAATTAACTTGGAATGAAACACAGACCTAAACCTAACAGTTAAAACTATAGCATGGTGGTTCAAGTCTATAATCCCAGCACTTTGGGAGGCCGAGGTGAGGGGATTGCCTGAGCCCACGGGTTCGAGAACAGCCTGGGCAACTTCATGAGACCTCATCTCTACAATAAATCAAAAAAATTAGCCGGGAGTGGTAGCGCACGCCTGTGGTTCTGGCTACTTGAATGCTGAGGTGGAAGGATCGTTGGGCCCCAGCAGGTCAATGTGGGTGGCCATGAGTGTGCCACTGCACTCTAGCGTGGGCAATAGATTGATACTCCAATTCAAAAACCAAAACAAAACTATAAACCTTCTAAAAGAAAATATAAATGAAAATCGTGGCCTTGGGTCTGATAGATTTTTTTTTTGAGTTGGAGTCTCACTCTGTTGCCCAGGCTGGAGTGCAGTGGTGTGCTGTTCATGGCCACTGCAGCCTCAACTTGCTGGGCTCAGGCAATCATTCCGCCTCAGCCTTCCAAGTAGCTGGAACAACAGACGCATGCCACCACGCCTGGCTAATTTTTGTGATTTATTGTAGAGATAAGGTCTCACCAAGTTGCCCAGGCTGGTCTCAAACCCTCAGGCTCAGGCAATCTTCTTGCCTCGGCCTCCCAAAGTGCTAGGATTACTGGCTAAGCCACCATGCCCGCCAAATTTTCCACCCACAATACAAAAAGCACAAACTACAAAAGAAAAAAGTTGCACTTAATCAACATTAAAATTTTCACTATTTAAAAGATACCAAAGAAAAGGAAAGAGGAAACTACGGAGTGGAAGAAAAAAAAATTTCTTTTTTTTTTAGTTGGAGCCTTACTCCATCGCCCAGGCAGACGCACACTCATGGCCACTCCAGTGTCGAACTGATGGGCTGTGGTGAGCCTTCTGCCTCAGTCTTCCAAGTATCTGGAACTACAGACATGTGCTACCATGCCCAGCCTATTTTTGATTTATTGTAGAAACGAGGGCTCACCAAGTTGCCTGGGCTGGTTTCCAATCCATGGGCTCAGGCAATCCACTCGCCTTGGCCTCCTAAAGTGCTGAGATTATAGGCTGAGCCACCAAGCCTGGTCGGAAGAAAATTTTTACAAATATGTATCAGACAAAAGACTTGGATGTTAAATACAAGACTTCTTACAAGTCAGTCAGAAGACAACCCAATTTTTAAATAATGGGTAAAATATTTGAACGATACTTCACCCACCAAGACATACAAGCCAAATAAGCATGTAAGAAGCAGAAGAACTGCCTGAGCTTAGGCGATCCTTCCACCTCAGCCTTCCATGTAGCCAGAACTACAGTAGCGTGCGACCACGCCTGGCTAATTTTTTTATTTATTGTAGAGATGAGGACTTGCCAAGTTGCCCAGGCTGTTCTTGAACCCGTGGACTCAGTTAATCCTCTCACCTCAGCCTCCCAAAGTGCTGGGATTACAGGCTTGAGCCACTGTGCCCAGCTGAGGAGATATATTAAAAAGCCTGACCATACCAAGTGTTGGTGAAAATGTAAAGCAACTGGAACTTTCACACACTGTGGTGGGAATGCAAAGTATCCACTGTGGAAGACAGCAGTTTCTTACAGTGTTAGTCAAACACCTGACATATGATGTAGACATTCCATTCCTAGATGTCACTCAAGAGAGATGCAAGCGTATGCCTGCCAAAGACTCACACAAGATGTTCTTTGTGATAGCTATAACTGGATACATACCATGTCAATGAATAGTTGTATGGATCAACAAATCTTGGTATATCCATACAAAAAAACACTACTCAGCAATGAAGAGGAAGAATTACTGATACATACAGCATGTAGAAACTCAAAATCACATGGAAAGAAGTAGATCAAAACATAATGTATGGTTCTATATAAATACAATTCCAGGAAATAAAAATCTAACCTATGGTGAGAGAAAGCAGATCTGCAGTTGTCTAGGGACAGGGAGGGAATGAAATAGGCATGAGGAAAACTGTAGGCGTAATGAATGTGCTTATTATCTCTGTTGTGTTGATGGCTCCTCAAGCATACACTTGAAATAGTCATATGTGGCTTAAGGATCTGAGAAATGCATTGTTAGGCAATTCTATCCTTGTGTGAACATCAGAGTGCACTTACACTAACCTAGATGGTGTTTCTACTACACACCTAGGCTGCATGTTGAGTGTGTTGCTCCTAGGTACACATTTGCACAGCATGTGACCGCACTGAATGGTGAAGATGGTTCTAACACAATGGTAAGGATTCATATCTTTAAACACAGAAAAGTTATAGTAAAAATGTGGTACGATGATCTTCTGGGTCCACCATGATATATGTGGTCTGTCATGCACTGGAATGTAGTTGTGCAGCACAGGATGGTGTGCATTTACTGTAAATCAATTATACCTCAATAAGCTTGAAAAAGAAAAAAACTTGACAAACCACATGATGAAAGTTTCAATAACAGAACAAGAGACTATTGAACTAAAAAAAGAGCCAAGTAGAAGATAACCACTAGAAAAAAATAACAAATATTTCTAAATAACAACTGACGTGTATATAAACTAAGCAACGTTTAAAACTAGCAACATCCAGTTGATGGCACATAGCAGCACTTCTCAGAGGTCCTGGAGGCCTAAACTGCTTCTAGGGGGTCCACAGGGTAAAAATTATTTTAATAATAATAATATGTTATTTGTTACGAAATCCTAATTCTCTCAAGACTGTAGAGTGGGGCACTGCATAGTGTTTTGGCTCAGAATCCAATACATATAGTCTCATGCACAATGCTCCCTAGAATTTCATCTTTGTTTTTTAAATTTTAAAGATGCAGATGGCGTTTTTTGCCCATACCAGCTCTGGTATGTCTCTCTTTCTTTTCTCCCTTCTTTCTCTAATAAACTTTGTTTTAAAACTTTGAAGAAAAAAAAAAAAGAAAATAAAAAGGATGTGGGGTACATTTCAGGGTTAGGTATATAATTGGTCATTGTACAAGTGAAGTTTGGGACTCATTTTGGTCCCCACTTCACTTGGTTTGATGAAGTATGGCCCCATCCTACCTCCCCAGAATTTCATCTTTATGGTGATTACATGAATAAATCTTGATCAAGTACTCAGAACTTAGTCTTGGGCTGGCACATAAGTCATTGAAAACAGTATAACAGGCAGCTTATATTTCCACCAAGACTTTGCTTTTTTCCTCGGCTGTTAACATGTTAGTAATACTTTTGAGGAAGGACTGTCCATCCTGGTTGGTTTTCTTTTTTTGTTTGTTTTTGTTTTTTTTTGAGCTGGAGTCTCACTCTGTCATCCAGACTGGAGTGCAGTGGCTGCTCCCGGCCACCGCAGCCTCGACCTGCCGGGCACCGGCGATCCTGCCGCCTCAGCCTTCCAAGTAGCTGGAACTACAGGTGCGCACTACCACACCCGGCTAATTTTTGACTTATTGTAGAGATGAGGTCTCACCAAGTTGCCCGGGCAGGTCTCGAACCTATGGGCTCAGGCAATCCACTCACCTCAGCCTCCCAAGGCATGGGATTACAGGCTGAGCCATTGAGCCCGGCTTCTGGTTGGTTTTCATAGAGGCCAGTTGTGATTATTTTCTCCACGTCTCTACCTGATTCATTGCTTCTCCATTTCAGTGGCACCACTTGCTACCTGTAGTTGTGATACAGAAAGCCCCTTGCCCACAGTGATTCTCCTCTCTGAATGTACATAAAACACGAGGGAGACCCCCCAAAACCCAAAATTTATTTATTAAAAAATTGTGTATTTATTCTTATATATTTAAACTTCAGTTACCTTCGAGAGTACCTAACAGCACTCTGTTTCATGCAATACACCTATGGAAATGCTTTTCCCACCACTTCACACTTTTTGAACTCGTCAGTTTTAATGTCTCATAGTGCTTCTGCCATTTTTTGGTTTCACCTCTTCAACACTGGCAACACGTTTTCCTTTGAGGACTTTTTTCATCAGGGAAACACAAAGTCACTTGGGGCAAGACTGGGTGAGTATGGAGGGTGGGGCATGAGGATCATGCCGCTTTTGGTCAAAAACTGCTGAACACTCAGCACAGTGTGAGTAGGTAAGCTTGTAAATCGCCCATCATGATATGGGCAAATGTGATGAAACAAACTCCAACAAATAATCTCTGAAGTCAAACGCAATAACACTAACTGGTATGCTGATGCCCATGGGTTCCTAGAACACTTACCTAGTAGGGGAAGCCTGTACTACAAGGGACCCACCCTCCAAAAGATAATTCCAGTTTTTTGGGGGCACCCCTCTCATAGGTGTATCTGTCTGTTCTTTTCATCGCTTTGCCCTTGAATTCCATTCCCTCTTGAACTCACATCATGGCAGCTGAATCAACACATAGTTCATTCCAGCATTTGCTATTTATTCCACTATGAGAATTTTGTTCTGGTGAGGAAGAGGTTTGGTTAGCAATATTTTTACTTGTTGTATTTTTACATCTCTGCAAACATGGAGGTGACAGTCATTGCTGACAGAGACCTATATCCTGGAAATGTGTTTTTCTTGCTTTAAATATACCTGTGAATATTATAAAAAATCAGGTAGTTAAAAAAAAAACACTATACTGTACAGTAGACTTTTCAAAGGCTACATGCACAGATAGGTGAATTCAGCTGTTTTTGTTTTGAGTCAGGGTCTCACTCTGTCACCCAGGCTGGAGTGCAGTGGCATGATCACAGCTCACTGAAGCCTCCAACTCCTGAACTCAAGCGACCCCCCTGGATCAGCTTCTCGAGCAGCTGGAAACAGGTGAACACCACCGCATTCGACTAATTTTTTTATTTTGTTTGTAGACTTGGTGTCACGCTATGTTGCTTAGACTGGTCTCGAACTCCTGGGCTCAAGCAATCCTCCTGCTTCAGTCTCCCAAAGTGCTGGGATTACAGGTGTGAGTCACCATGCGCAGCCTCCAGATGTCTTCTAATAAACCAAACATTGAAAGGACTTGCAAAACCTTTCCATCTTTTCTTTGTTTTCCAAATACTTTTGATATTGCTTATCAGCTGGGCATGATGGCTCATACCTGTAATCCCGGCACTTTGGGAAGCCAAAGAGGGAGGATCCCTCAAGCCCAGGAGTTTGGAACCAGTCTGGGCAATATAGCAAGACCCCATGTCTACAAAAAAATAAAAAAATTAGCCAGCCTTGTGGTGCATACCTGTAGTCCCAGCTACTTGGGAAGCTGGGGCAGAAGGATCACCTGAACACAGGAAGTTGAGGTTGTGGTGAGCCACAATCATACCACTGCACTCCAGCCTGGGTGACAGAATGAAACCCAATGAAAAAAAAAATGGTTTATGTTAACATGTAATGGGTTCATCAATATTTTTAAATGAAATCATAAATGAACACAGTATACATATTTGAAACTCCTCAGTTTTAATCCCTAAGAGGACAAAGAATAATAGGTAAAACCCACATACACAAAATCTCTTCAGGATCCTAGCATTAGGGAAAGGTTGCTGTCAGTTCACTAAACTCTCCATCACCATCACTGCCAGTTCCTGGCTGAGGACTGGACAACTGCTCTAGGGGAGAGACCTGCAGTCTAGAGTTCTCTCCCCACCCTACAGACTGGGGATTGCTGGTCCACAATAAGCTAAGAATACAGAAGGTGAAACTCAACAGTTGTATGCTGCAGCAACAACCAGCATGTGCTTCACAGGCTTGTGTGGTGTGTGTGGTGTATGGTCTTGGCTTTGCCATCTCATTTTTCAGTTATTCGTTTGTATTGTTTCTCATAGAAGTGCTGACTTGTGGCAGTTTGGAAATGTTAACAAGTAGTCCGTCACCACAGATACCCTGAGAACTGACCTTGAAGTCTTTTAATTAGACAGCGATTAGGATGACCCCTAGAGCCAAATATGAGTAGAAGCTTTTTCTTCCTCATTAATGATCCTCAAGAGAACTTCCCCTATATATGCCACTTCTAATGCAAATATCACCCCAATCTGCAATGGAAATTGACAGTGATCAAGAAAACCACACATACCCTCTTCAGCGAAGAACTTCTCCACGGGTCCCACGAATTGATGCATTTCATTAAGTTCATCTTGGCTAACTTCTGGAAATGGGAAAACCTCTTTCTGAAAATAACAAGCATTTATCAAAAACTTAATTTTTAGCAATCTCCCTTTGTGGTTAATATCAGTTCAAAGGGGAAAACAATAAGTATTTTATTCCACACTGGCCAGCAGGTCTTTACAAGGTCTTAAGATGCAGGAATTGTGGGTAGACTCCACCACCTATATTCATCTTCCTCCTCAGCTCCAGCAGGTAATTCCTGATTTTGATCAGCTTTCCTGCTTAGTAACAAGTGATGAAGATAGTCCCATGAAACGAATAGCCCCAGACTAACACTTAGAAGCTTTGGAGGTCTGGCCCCTCATTGCAGGCTTACTAACTCGTGGCCTTCATCAAATCCCTTCAGCTCTCCAAGTTTCCACTTTCTTAACCACCATATGGGTAACGTTTACTAAAGTCTTTGTGAGGATCATGGAAGACAGTGGATGTGAAAGTGTCTGACTGAAATGAAAATTCTGTGTCAACGACTGTGTGAGCTCAAAGATGCTGCATTGACAAGAATGCACTGTGCTGACCCCTAGGTCTGACCTCAGTCCCTCCCACCCAACAACATCTGGAATAGATGTCCAGTGGAGTTACTGAAAAAGGTTTGGCTGTGGAGCAAGATCAACATGAGTCCAACCTGGGCTCAGCTACTCCTCAGCTGTGTGACTTGGGCAACTCACACAGCTTTTTTCAATGTCAGTTTCTCCCTTACAATAATCCTGTTTATCTCAGAATTTTTGAGCCTGGTTGTGAGGCTCAAAAAAGGTCATTTGTCCTGGAACATAAATTTGTATGAAATGCTGGTTTTGCATATCCCTACCTCATGGCCTAGAAAATGACTTAACTTCCAGTCTGTTTATTTATTTATTTATTTTTTAAGTTGGGGCCTCATGTTGCCCAGGCTGGAATGTAGCTGCATGATCACGGCTCACTGCAGCCTTTACCTTCCGGGCTCAGATGGTCCTTCTGCCTCAGTCTCCCGAATAGCTGGGACAGCAGGTCCTCCATTACACCTAACTTTCTCTCTTTTTTTTGAGTTGGAGTCTTACTTTGTTGTCCAGGCTGGAGTGCTGTGGCAGGCTCACAGCCACTGCAGCCTCGACTTGCTGGGCTCAGGTGATCCTTCTGCCTCAGCTTTCCAAGTAGCTGGAACCACAGGAATATGCCACCATGCCTGGCTGATTTATTTATTGCAGAGACAAGGTCTCTCCATGTCGTTCAGGCTGGTCTCGAACCACTGAGCTCAGGTAATCCTCTCGCCTCGGCCCCCCAAAGTGCTGGGATTACAGGTGCGAGCCACCATGCTCGGCTTAACTTTCTTTTAAATTTTTTGTAGAGACAAGGTCTCACTAAGTTGCCTAGGCTGGTCTTGAACTCCTGGACTCAAGCAATCCTCTCACCTCAGCTTTCCAAAGTGCTGAGATTACAGGTGTGAGTCACTGCGCCTGGACCTCCAGACTGTTTCAATGAGTGGCCAAAGTTTCTGACTATCGGGATTCTCTGCTGCCCTTGAAATCATTCTACTGTGTCCTGTACCCATCTGGCCTTCTGGGCTCCAAGCTACTCCTTCAGTTGCTAGCATGACATGAGGTTTGGATGTGGACTCAAGGCTGCTAAGCAGTGATGTCCCAGGTCACAAGAGGTGGGCCCAGGAGCTGCCTCTCCTCACGGCACCTCTCACCATGTGTCTCCAGAGAGGTCTTCCGAGGAGTCCTCAATCTTCCCACCATCCTTGTACATCTAGTCAGCCACCTGATTCGCCTACTCTAGCAACACACTCACAAATATTTTTTCCACTCTGGGCCCAGGACCACAGGTCTATAGATGGATTCCTAGTCAACAGTGACGGCTGACCTAAAGGAATCCATCCCTAACTGCTCGGAAGGTGGTGTGGAAAAAAACAAGCTGAAGATTCCTTCACTCTGAAGCCTCTGAGATCAAAGCCCATTTCCTTCATTAAATACAGAGGCTTACTGTCACCTGGGCCTTGTGCAATGGGGCTGTCAGAGACCATTCTGGTACCAGCGGGCAGGCCAGATGAGAAAAGAGAGACAGCCTGGCAACCTGTTGGCCTTCAGGAAAATGGCTATGGGGAGAGGAATCCTAGGGAAAGAAAGGGTTCTCTGTTATCAAATCAGGCCAATGCCTCATGGCATGGGAGGGGAGTTCAACCGCAACAATGAAAAGTTTTCAATTTTTCTAAAGCAGTGGAACCTGTTATTCAAATAAATCTAGTGTGGGAACCAAATATGTAAAAGAGATAGAAGCCAAGTGGCTCTGACTGAGGCTGCTGATAGGGAAAAGAGTCATCCAGATCTCACCCACTCATTGTCCCACTCATCCTAGCAGTAGTCCCAGGGGCACTCCATGAGTAGTTTGGATCCAACTGAGGGCAGGGTGACAATCACTGGCCTAGAAAATCTCTAAGGTCTCTCTTCCCATTCTGAGATTCTCAGCATCATTTGCCACATTTCTACTCAAAGTGGGAACAGGAAAGCTGTGAGAGATGACATTTGCCTGATCCAAGGTTTTGGCTGTACAAGGGCCTGAAAGTGGTCAGATTCCAAAGACAGAAAACATAGGATGTGCTGTGGGATTAGATGTGGGACAGGAGACTAAGAGGAGTGGAAGGTAACTTCTGGTGTTTGCTCTAAAGAAGTGGAACAGAGTCACCATCATCTATGATAAAGCAGGCTGATAGGAGCAGGATTGGGCTCCAATTGGGCCAGTGGGAGACACCAGCTATTGTTTAGCAGTAAAGAAGAAACTAGTTATGACATTTAGCTCAACCAGTGAAGAATTTAGAACATGCAGGGAATGGTGCAAATGGTATTTCACAAGCCAGAGAAGAAAGTGTCAATGAGGATGGAGGGATGAAATGTGTCAAATGGCACCAATGGGTCAAGCAGGATGAAGACTGAGAACAGACCACAAGATATGACAACATGGAAGTCACTACTTTCATGACCGTTAGGGACAAAAGCCTGAATGGTACAGGTTTATAATCCAGTAGATGGAACAGTTGATGTAGGGGAGAAAAGAGAGAATTACCCTTGAGTAGGTGAGAAGGCCTAGGGTCTAATGAGACCGATTTTGCCTGGAGCAGACAGCTCATCCATAATAACAGGACATAGATAACATGGACACACATGCAGGGGGGAGAGGATACTGGTGGTGTAAGATATCATGGATTTTCTCAGCGAAATGGGAAGTCAAGCTGACAGCTGAGAGTGAGGGCAGGGTAGATACTGCCTGAGATTTAAAGACTGAAACAAATGAAAAATTTGTGTCATTCTTCAACCATGCAGCTAAAAGGCAGGAGGTCCCAGGGCAGAGGACCATACAGCCCCAGGTTAGGGGAAAATGGGTTTCCCACACTTTGAAGACCTAGCGCTGCACTTCCTAGCAGGACAAACTACTCAGTCTGAATCTCAGCTTCTGTATATCGCTGCTATAACGGGGTCAGCCTGACAACCTAAGAGGAATGTTCCAAAGAGATGTCAGGGAACCGCTCCCGTGATACAGGATCAAAGCAGAGTACCTCTAGAAAAGAGCAAGTTATGTATTTACTCCTATTTTGTAGATGAATGCACTGAGGCACAGGGAGGTGAAGCGATCAGCTCAAGGTCACAGGACTAGTATATGCTGAAGCCAGCACTAGCCCCTCTGCTGCACAGTACCGCACAGTTCACCAAGAATCTCCACGGCCTGTTCCCTGGGGCTCGACAACACATCTTTCAGGGAGGCACGTAACTCGCTCCATTTTAAGGCTGAAAGACTGAGTCTCAAAGTCAGTCAGGGCTGAAGTCAAGTCCAAGTCTTCCAACTCTAAGAAGAGAGTGGTACTTAATAACCAAGCTGCTACAACTGGCTGCGTCGTGTGACCCGTGGAAGGCACGCTGGGGTCAGATCTGAGGAACCTCAAACTGGGACACGCGCCAGGGCTCGGCTGCGGAAGGAAACCCACGGGCTGCTGGAAGGCGACAGAGGAACGGCAGGGTCTGAACAGTGTCAGGACCTGAGAGGAGGCCCGCACACCTCGGCGCCAGAACAGTGGAGACGAGGGCTGCTCCGTGACCACCCAGCCTGGAGTGTCCCCGATTCTCCGGAAAAAATTTAGCAGCAACACCTGCCAACACCACGTTCTTCAGATCCTCTGCCTCGGGAATGTCCCTGTGGAACTCCAGAGTGTAACGTGCCTCGCCCAGGGCCTGCCTCTCTGGCGGGTCTGAGGATTCTGACAAAGCTCGACCCCAGAGGTGCAAGCTGCTGGCGTAAATCGGGAGCCACACAGAAGGCCAGCCCAGGGCTTGTGTTACCTTCTCGATTTTGCCCAGGAAAAGCTCCTTGGCGAAAGCTCCTCTGGGCGGACTGGTGCGCAGCAGGCGCTGGCCCGCGGTGAAGACCTCCAGAGCCCGGCAGACACGCGCCCCTGCCACCGGGCGCAGAAGCCCGCAGATGCTCATGATGCCCGCGCGACCGAACTCGCTGTCTCCTTCTACCTAGAGCCGCAGGGAAGCTCGTGCACAGTAGGCGCTGCCGGATGACGTGACCACCAGCCACTTCAAGGAGGGCCCACTGCGCTTGCGCGGTCTGTCTAGCAGCGGCTGGGGAGGCCGGAAGGAGGGGACCGCCGCGGCCGCCTACCGCCCAAGACTTGGTCACGTGCACCTTGGTCACGTGCACCTCGGTCGCGCCGCGCGGTGACGCCACTAGCGTGTTTCCCGCCGGCCCGCTGCGCTTGCGCGGGCAGAGACGCTCCGCGCAGGAAGTGCGGAGGGGCGGGGCCGCTGGCGTCGCGAAGACTCGGGTCCGGCCGTTGTAGCCGCCGCAAGGGGGGTCGGTTTTTCGTATGCCCGCTGTTATTTTCGTAAATGCCAGACTGGGAAGCTTTCCACGTGTACAGAAACCTGAGGGACGGCGGTCTCTGCTTGCCCCCTTCCTGCCACAGGCGGCCGCGAGGACGTAGTCAAACTAGAGAAAATCAAGAGAATGGGGAGAGTTCGCGGTGTTGGGGGGGATCTGCAGGGCCCTCAGAGTATGGGTGACGTCTCATGTTTCAACTGTATGGTGGATTCATTGAGATTCATATTTTTTTTTTGCCTTGTAGCTCACATGTATGTTACCTTTTTTTTTTTTGGAAGAGGAAAAGAAAAGGGCTCTTCAGCCAGAGAGAGCTCTGGATAACCTGAGTCAGCATGTTCTGGGAAACACCAACATTAAAAGGTGGGCGGAGAGAACGAAGCTAAGGGGTAACCCAGAAGGGGTGGGACCAGACAGGCTTGTATCATTGACCAGTGCTGGAACATGCTTCTTGCCTTTATTGCATGAACTCCTTGAAAACTGTATGAAATCCTACGCATCTCAACGTGCTAAGACCCAACCCAATAAAAGGTTGAATTTCTAACACAACATCAGGGGAAAAAAATGCTCGTTTTGGGAGGCGGAGGCTGGAGGATTGCTTGAGCCCAGGAGCTTGTGACCAGCCCGGGCAATATAGCGAAATGTCGTTTCTAAAAAAAAAAAAAAAAAAAAAGAAGAAGAAGAAGAAGAATTAACCTGGAGTCGTGGCTAGCTCTTGTCGTTCTAGATAATCTGGAGGCCCAGGAGGTGGATGCTATGGTGAGCTGTGATGCGCCACCGCTTCAGCCTGGACGACAGAGGGAGACTCTACTCAAAAAAATAAGAAAACTTTCTTCATAGCAGAATACTTGCAAGCATCTTTTGCTGTGTGTGTAATGTATATTGTCTTGTCTACTGTTAAAAGTCTGTCACCTAGGTGCTTCATCAGTGGTCAACATCTGCCTGTTTTAGCATTCAGCTTTACAAGAAGGCATCTGGGTAAAACAGAAAAATGATATTGGAAAAGTGGTTTCAAGTTTGGGCTGCAATACACTTTTGTCAAAACACATGAAGTCAAATCAGTAAAAAGTAATCCCATGTGTCAGATCCAGTTTAGTGTACACAGGTCTCCCTAAATCAACCAAATGAGAAATCCAATGGTACCTATTTTCTAAAACAAAAATTAGAAAAATTTTAAGACCTAATTTCTAATTACCCCAATAAAGTGTAGCAGAAGATTTTGATGCTCTACCATGCTACCACTTTCTAAATTCAGTTTTCTCATCTGTAAAGATAAGTATAATACTATATAAGACTCATGAGAGGTTTAAGTAAAATAATACACATGAAGGTACCTAGCACACACAGTACATGATTGTTTCTCTTGTAATACTATAAAAACGAAAAATGGTTACACTCTGAGACTTCCATTATATAGTTAATACTTGGAGAAATGAGATGTTTTACACAATTTGCTTAAAAAACAGATTTTCCCTTATTCAGTGTTTAAAACATACTCCATAGTTCTGAATGTCCTTCCTGTTATGAAAACATCAATACAATTGAGGCATAGCTTACCAAAAAATAAGTGAGCACTCTTCCTTAGCCATAATGTTAGTCTTAGTAATGTTAATGTGCCAGAATGCCTGACTTTGGGTCTCAAGCCGTTTGAGTGGAAAACGGCTCCCAGATCCCTCACTGTTAAAGCTGAGGGAGAGATGGAGTGATTTTTTTCCATAAGCCGAGGACCACTAAAAATTGCCAGAAAACCACCAGAAGGTAAGAAGGCATCAAACAGATTCTTACATCCCTCAGAAGGAACCAATCCTGCTGACACTTTGATGTCAGAGTTCTCGACTCCAGAACTCAGACAGATTGTTGTTTCAGCCACCCAGTCTATGGTACTTGTTACAGCAGCTCTAGCAAGCTAATACTCAGGATCATAGTGTTCTTAGAGACAAATAGGGCCTGATAGTGGCCACAGGATTGCAGCTATATCTTACAGTCCATACACCCAGTGCTTTTGCCATAGTTTGGAATCAATAGTCTCCTGATGATGGGTCCCTGGCACAGTTAGACATTGTGGGAGAGCCCCTTAGATGTAACAGCAAAGCCTGTAGCATAGTCAGGAGAGAAAGCAAGGTGAAGGAACGAGGATAGGAGTCGTGAGAACAGAGATCTAGTCCTTACTTTGCCACTTGTCAATTGTGACTCTGGGCCCATGTCCTTGCCTCTGAGCCTCCACTGTATCGTCTGTGACTTGGTGGTAGTGTTGTGGCAGAGACAACCAGTAGCCTGGAAATCCATGTGTCCATTTCCATAATGTGCTATTGTTAGCACTAGGCAGCTGCCAGCCAGGGACTGTCTTTCTCAGTCCCCTGCCTTCAGATGATGTTCTCACCAAGGGAATGTGAGTGGAAGTAGTTCATGACTTCTGTCCAGTTTTTAAGAGATGGGGGTCATTCTTTGCCGCTTGCTCAAGCCTCTGGTCCTAGGGGATGGCAGTGCAAGATGGAAGGAGCTTAGGTCTCTGCAGTAACCATCTGCAGGAAAGCCAACCAAAGAATGGCAACACCACATTGAACAGTTATGTGAGCAGGAATTATGTATTCCACCACTTGCGTTCAGGGGGTTATTACAGCAGCCAGTGTTAACTAGTAAAAACATCTTCCTAGCTTCAGTGAAAACACTATGGGAGATACAGTATAAATATAGTCATCATTAGTAGGGGCAGGCACATTCAGCAGGCAGATTACTTGAGCCCCAAACAGTCACATTTGTATTTTTGATCCTTACCCTGGTCTAGGAGATAGTATCCTCAAAGAGGAAGATGATAGCAGCTAATATGTAATGAAGGCTTTCTATGCTAGGAGCTGTTTTATGTACTTAAATGTGTTATATCTTAGTCCTCCAAACAGGCCTCTGAATTCAGTGTTGTTCCTTTATGCCCATTTTGTAAGAGATAGATCTGAGGTCCTGAGAACTCCCACTGCCAGAGATGGTAAAGTCATGATCTGGACACCTCCTCCCAGTGCCCGCCTGGCTTTTGAGCCACTGTGCTCTTATTTCTCACACTGTACTGGCTTCCTGAAGATAGAAGACACTACTTGGAAGGCTGAGGCGGAAGGATTGCCGGAGCCCAGCTGGTCGACGCTGGGGTGGCTGTGAGTGTGCCACTGCATTCCAGCCTGGGTGACAGAGTGAGATTCCAACTCAAAAAGAAAAAAAAAAAAGAACAGTGAATGAATGAATGAAGACTCAGACACTCTTCTATGTTTTCATCTCCTGTACTGCCCGATCCAAAATATGGTAGATGACTGTAACAAAATAAGGTTGGGAGCCCTGTCAGGTCCATGCCAGCTCATCCATAAAATGGGAATGATACTAGCTTGCAGGTAGGTTACATTGAGCACCAAGTGCAGCACTTGGTACACAGGCACTGTTCTCAGGGCTGTTACACCCCTGCTTTTGTAAGTGTGTCAGTGTAGATGTGGACCAGTCTAACCAGTCTTCCTGCCCAGCCATGTATCAGATAAGGCACAATAATTTTGTTTGTTCTGCTTCTCCATCCCCATCCCTTGCATGAGTCACTTCTTATTTCTGGGTCTCCATGTCATCACCTGTAAAAATGATGAAATCAAGGTAAAACCTGGATCTTTCTTGAAAATTGAGTGAATGAATATGGAATTCTATTCCATCCACCCTCAGTTTCAGAGTCTAGCAATTCAGCTATACATGGGGAAGATATGTCTAAAAATACGGTGTTTCAGTTTAGTCTTGGTCCTAATGACAGTCTTTCAAAAATCTCAGGATAGCTGATCTAATCATAGCACAAGCAACAATAGAAACAATACCTTTAATTGCCTTTCATGATTCAAAGGACAAAGTAGTTGAAGATCCAAGTTCTAGAGCATGTTGCCCCACTATGACACTATCAAAAGAGCATAAATAACACAAAATCTGCACTGAAGCCAGCAGAAACCCCAAAGCAATTGCTGTAATGTAACAGCCAAGTAATTACACTAAAGCACTGGGGTCTTTACTGTTTGTACAAAAGCCAGTGAAGCCTGAAGTCTTATTTCAAGATGGTCAGGTGGCAGAGCTAGTCTGAAAACTCTGAACTCATGTGAAACCGCACACAAAGAAGATGCAATGCCATCCTTGCTAGAGGGATTTTCTGTGAAATACTCCTCTTCAGCTGGAATGAATCATCAGGGGGCATACTTGGGAAGCATGGTGTTTCAACCTGTGCCTGCAGTAGGCAGAATCCCTATAGGCAGAGAGAGTGGGCTGAGAAATGGTCAGCAAGTGTTGAACCAGCCCACTCTCAGAAAACACTCCAGGCTCTAGTAGTGGTGTTTGGCACTCAGCACTATAGCTTCTCTGAAACTATTACCTGAAGGGTGGCTTTGGTTGCTTGGCAGGTGACAGCCCAATCACCACCACAAAGGAGGGTTTAGCAAAGGGATTCTATTACTTGCAACAAGTAACGAGAACACCAAGAAGAGCTCCCAAAGCAGCACCTCCAGAGCTGAGGGTTGGGCTGAGTTTCATAAACATGGGGTAATGAGGCAATGATCAGCCTTGATCCTGCTATGGGGAGATGCCAGAGCTTGATCTGATGGATCCTGG